AAGCGTTCAGCGAAGAGACTCTTTTCGGCGAATTCATTCACTGAGCTGTACAATCGCATTTATATACAATTTTGTTTTTGTGTGTGTACATTAGATTTATAAAGTTTAGATAATTACGTAATATAAGTATTATTTGGCTTGGAAACAAACGTTAATTAGATAGAAAATAAAATAAAATTGATTAAGTGAATTGGATGACGTAATACAATTGAGTAGAATTCAGAGTAGGTCAGGTTGGCAACAGTGTTAATGAGTGGTGGTTAAAATTAAATAAGGGTGGGGGTAGAGAATAATACAGTTGAAAATTAAGTAAGTTAATCGGATGACGTAATATAGTTGACTAGAAATTGGACGTGGGTCGAGTTAGCAACATTGTTAATGAGGGTAGAGATTACAAAAGGGTGTGCATCTACCAATTCACCTGCTCGTGTGGAGCCAGGTATATCGGCCGTACTCAGCGTTCGCTATCCAAACGCGTCAACGAACATTTACCGTCTTGGTTTTATAAAGGAGAAAACCGATGCCCCCGCAGCTCGATCCTTGAACATCCGATCGATTCCGGACACCAAGTCAAACCACAAATAAACTTCAAAGTTATCTACAGAATACAAGGCAATCTTGCTAAAAGTGTACGGATCAAACTTCTCCACATCGCAGAAGCAATGACAATTCATCTGCTAAATCCTGAACTCTGCATACAAAAGAAATTCGTTCATTCATTAAATCTACAATGGACGTAATCTTTCTTAATTTCAGTCTTACTAATTGTATTATTTTTGTCTTTTGCATTTTATTATTTCACATCTTCATTTGTATTATTCTCTACCCCCACCCTTATTTAATTTTAACCACCACTGATTAACACTGTTGCCAACCTGATCTACTCTGAATTCTACTCAATTGTATTACGTCATCCAATTCACTTAATCAATTTTATTTTTTTTTCGATCTAATTAACGTTTGCTTCCAAGCCAAATAATACTTATATTACGTAATTGTCTAAACTTTATAAATCTAATGTACACACACAAAAACAAAATTGTATATATATATGCGATTGTACAGCTCAGTGAATGAATTCGCCGAAAAGTCTCTTCGCTGAACGCCTTCTTTTGTTTTATTAAAATGTAATAATAAACAAGATGATCGGATCATAAGTGCTTTGAAAATTGACTTGTTTTGTGTAATTAGGGATTTAAAATTTGGTGGTAATGACAAAATATTAAGAACACAACATTCAACGAAGAGACTAATTTTCAACGAATTTATTATCAGGCTGTACAATCGTATAAATATATATGGCTTTTTTAAGAAATTATAGCTGGTGAGGGAATTTAATCAAAGGTTTGAATACATGAAATAATAATAGTATGAAATGCAATTAAAATATTTGTGATTATAATCATAGTTTAATGTCAAGTAGCAAAACAATTAGTGGCATATATAGAATAATTCATAAGATGTATAGATGTATTTTTGATTGCACACTAGTCAGTAACCAGTGTAATGCGTCTAGTCCTATCTTCGGTGCAGACTGAATTATATTAGTCATGTTTGCAATGTGGCCACCATGCTAGGTGGCTCGCCATTACGGTGCACTGTGAATCCTGCCGATTGCCTCCAACCATCTAATATGTATAAATGTCGGATAGGGGCGTATAACTATAGGGTTAGTAGGCTAATGTATATAACGCCACGTAACATGGTGTGAAATTTGACAAGATTCAACATTGTAAAAACATTTTTGGATTTAGAATGAAAAGTGGGACAAATGGAAACAATTCATAGTGAGAGTAATAATAATCATACTAATGAGGGAAAGGTACATAGAATGACTAAATAAATAAATAAATAAATGCCTATCCCTCTACAGCCAAGGCAGAAGTGTGGATTGTACATACTTCTTTTGTACACAAAGATGTCTGGCTTAAATTCACGAATGACCAGGGCCTCTGCTGTCTTTATAAGCTTAATAACGAAAAAAACACTGCAATCCAGTATGGACTCGATAGATGACCTGAAAATCATGTTCAGGGTTGGTGGAGTGACAGGAGTCGATCAAGTGTTCTAGAATAGACAGGAAGTTTGGATAACAAAAACACAATAGTGTCGATAAGGATTGAAACACATAAAAATAACAGACACAAAAACAGGAAGATCACAGGATATTGTCTACTGAGAGAATTGACTGTTTGTGACGGCCATGGTAAAGACAAGAGTCGGACAGATTTATTTTCGACAGCTAGTTCAATTTCCACAACAACTACGATCCTACTATGTTTTTATCCGATCTTCTTGTTTATTATTACATTTTAATAACCTATTTGCAATTTTATCGATATTACCCTTCACTGAAAATAGTTTTGGCACTTTCTCACGCATTCACTATAAATATACCCGAGAGTACAGCCTAGCTGATGACTTCATCGAAAAATATATTCTCTTCTCTGCAACTGTCTTTTTGATATTTCTTAATATCTATAATCTACAAGTCTTCTAGCGTCGGTGGCATAGCGGTTAGGACGCTCACCGACCATGCACATGGTCCGGAGTGCAATTCCCGGCCGACGCACTCCTTTACCTTGCTAAGACAGAAATAATGTTGGTGAAGAGGAAAGGTTGGGCATGAGGCTAGCAACCCCATCCTGTAAAATAAACACTGCTACAGAAACTTCAAGCCTCTAGCTTGAAGCCCTTTGTTCCACTGGGGAACGTGAAGGAAAAAAACCTATTTGCAATTTTATCGATATAACCCTTCAATGAAAATAGTCTTGGAACTTTCTCACGCATTCACTATAAATACACGAGAGTACAGCCTAGCTGATGACCGTCTTTTTAATATTTCTTAATATCTATAATCTACAAGTCTTCTAAAAATTATCTTCAATTTGACAGGAATTAATCATATGGTAAACATATTCACCCATTCCTATTCACAGAGTAAATAAAAGCTTATAAATGGCCAGCATTTGCTTTTTAAATGTGGTTGTATTGCCTCAATACTACTCTGAACCAACTGGGTATTTTTACCGGTAAATTAACAATAAGATGAACATAGTCACTTCACTGGAAGACATCAAAAGTAGTCAAGAACTCAACCAGAAACCAAAGGGTTGAAAATTTGCAGCTTCCAGGAGAAATCCATTTTGAAGCCGATCATATACATACCGTTTGAAGTCGATTTTAGAGTTTTATCCGGATACATACTACCACCGCAGGATAAGTTACGATGTACAACCTTTGGAGTAGATCTTTCTCAATCTCCAAAACAGAGAGGCAATACTTATAACTAGCTTGCTGGCGATCTGGGAAAAAAAATCACCTCATGGCTGTAACACATCCCAGTCCCAATCGCTAGGAGCACCATGTGAGTGCTACTTAGAAACAGATATAAGTAGTATATCAGTAAACGAATTCAGAAAGGTAACAATATGTTTTTGGGCACGGGAAAAATCTATCGAAGAAGAGGATTGTGAGAAAAACGTTAGAAACACTGTGTAGAATCCAACAAGCTATCGAATAAGGTGATATTCGACCATCGGTCTTTTCTCCCTTACAGTACGACTTCACCGTCAAGCTCCCGCCATAGTGTAAATGACTTGTCTGTTTTTTAAAACACTAAACATATATATATGCACAATGCAGTAATCAAATTAGTTGGAAATCAGTAGTCTGAATAAATTCAATTCACGAGTCGACTTCTTCTTTGCCTTAATGACGATGACTGTAAGTTAAGGCTTATCTAGGTAACACTGTAGGCACTGTCTGACTAACTGGTTTCAACACAGAACTTTGCACCGATGTGCACCAGTTCGAGTCGCCACACTCCATGTAGCACACAAAGCAAGGGAAGTAAGTAAAAAGAAACGCAAAATAGAGACAGTAAACAGAGATATGAGGCAAAAAGTGTAGTAATATCGAAGAACAATATAGTTTCATTGGATATTGTAAGTCAGAAGGAGTGGATGCATTCGCACCAGCCACCATTGACAACGAGGATTTTGAACCATATCACCAATTGTCTCCATCCTTCATTGGTGTTTACTCTTCCGTGGACCTCAACCAGTCAGGAAGTTCACAACTCCCTATGTGACTGGCTTAAACTAACTGTTGTGGATTTGATTGACTGATGAAGCCATGTTTTGGTTTGACCACCACTAGCACCTCTTTTGATACCCGATCCATCGTATGTGAGCTAACATTTACCGTTGGTCGAGGAAGGCGATGGTTAGGCATACGTAACGTATGTCCTAACCACCTCAATCTCGTCAATTGATTTCCCCTCCCTCTTTACCTAGCACCCAACCAAAGCCTCATCTCAATATTTCTCAACTTATTATACCACCACTTAACAAGGGAGGTAAAACACGGGCACCTATGATCAAAGACAGCTAATCTTTTCATGTCCTCCATTCTGAATGGCCAGGTCTCACAGCCATGAAGGAGGACGGAGCGGACTGATGAGCAGTACACACACCCTTTGGTCGATAATCGGATATCACGTGTACGCCAGAGATGGCGTAAACTGGCATATGTGAAACTAGCTCTCTGTATCCGTGCTGAGATTTCGTCAGCGATCAACTCGTTGGGGCTGGCTGATGCAACTTCCCAAATAAGTGAAGCGGCCAACGTGCTCTACCAATTCACTCCCTATTTCTACGCTAGGAGTCAATGTCGTCCAGTCCTTTAGCATCATCTTAAATTTGGCGGAAGCGAATCGCATGCCAAACACTGTACGCACACACACAAGAACAATATGGAGAGGAAAGACGAAGACAGAAAGTGTGAAAAGGCATATTCTTTTATTTTAGAAAACAAAAAAAAGGAAAATCAAATACAATCTTCAAAAGAATTATATCAGCTTGAATTAAATAAATAAATAAATAATGTAAAATGTCTTCTGGATCACAGGAAAAGAAAAGCAGAAAGCTGGTGTAAAGGAGAGAAGAAACAAAAGTAAGCGTGAACAAATCATGAAAGTCTGGCGAATAACTAACTGACTAGGCGATACCACCACACTCATTTGTATTGCGTAATGGATCTAATTTGTAAAATGGATCATTTGTTTCTGTTGTCAACAATCGATCATGCACCTGAGATGATGATGTTGTTGAGGCTTCAAAATCTTGACGAGTAAAACGTTTATGATTAGGTAAAGAATTCTTGGTTAAACTATTCAAATCAACTAAATGATCGGGTATACTACTATCCGTCTTCAAATTCGAAGCTTGTTTAGATGATGCTGATGATGACTCTGACAGGGATGAATGAACAGTAGACATTTCGTTAACTCCATTCGATAATGTATGATTTCCATTAAGAATATCTGATCTATTGGTCAAGTTCTCAGCATCACTTGTCAATAGCGTCTATGCAGAAAAAGTGAAAGAAAGGAAAGATAAAAAATAAGATAGTTCTGCAAAGGATAAATATTGTCAATATAGAAACAATGGTTATGGCTATTCGTCAACGGCTAGGCGTGCACACAATGAAAGACTCATTTCATTTCTCTGAAAGTGTGAACCATATAAACGTTTTAAATAAGTTCATAGAGTCTCATTTGATGTAACCTCCTTGTTCACAATGATTCCAATCAACGAAACTATTGAAATCATTTGTCAGCAGTTTGATCTTCTTCCACTGCCAGAGTTGGAATTCAAACAACTACTGGTAATGTGTACCATGGATGTGCAATTCCAATTCGACAACACTCTTTACCGCCAAATAGATGGTGTAGCTATGGGCAGTCCACTTAGCCCTATTTTAGCAGATACATATTCATGTCCAACCTTGAAAGAACAAAGTTGAAGCATGCAATCGATGAAACAACTTCCTACTGTCGATACGTTGATGACACATTTATAGTGTGCAAAAATGAAAGTCATGCTTCACACTTACTAAGATTATTCAATGATGCACACGCCAATATCAAGCTCACTATGGAACATGAAAGTGACGGGAAGTTCCACTTCCTCGACATCGCCATGGAACGCCTAGAAGACGGTAGTCTTCAAATGTCAATTTATCGAAAGCCTACATGGAAAGGACAATACTTACATTTCAATAGCTTTTGTCCAAATAGCTTTAAACGTGGTCTAGTCAAGACTCTGTACTATAGAGCGAGGAGAATATGCTCCATAGAGAAATTAGAGGAAGAATTTGAGTTTCTTGAAAAGACATTGAAGAGCAATGGGTACCCTCAAAGGTTCATTAACAAGTATGGAAGATCTGAAGTCGCAAATGAAAAAAAAAATCACAGTAGGAAAAAATCCAATCTACTTTGAGCTCGATTATAAAGGCGAAAACATTGCAGCGATGATCAACAGAAAGCTGAGCACATCACTAGACATAGCCTATCCTGCAGCTAAGCTCGTTCCCGTCTATCAAACAACTTGCTCTATGATGCAATCAAAAATCGATAGATATCCTTCTCATCTTAACTCCAACTGTATATACAAATTTACATGTATCTGCGGGAGCAGTTACATTGGAAGAACAGAATGAAGGGCATATCTACGATTTTCTGAACATGTACCAAAAAGCTTACGTCTAAAGGGAACAAATGCTTTAAACAGTGCCATCACCAGGCATCTCCTCGACACGGGTCATGAGGTGGACGCTGAAAAGTAGTTCAAAATTATCAATAAGCAAAAGAGCTCAAGTTTGCTGAAGCCATTTCCATCAAGCGCCTGAAACCTGATTTGTGCGTTCAGAAAGAAGCGGTTATCAGTCTTTATATATATATATATATATATATATATATATATATATATATATAAACAAGGGGGGATAGACAGGTTAGGCATGGATAATTGGATTGCAACAACGCTAGGTTGATCCGGGACATGTTGACTTCATTCAAGGATGGGAACTCGCTGATCAGCGAGTTCCACCAAGTGGGATATGCGGACTAAAACTCACCGATAACATTGGCTGATAGTTGCTCTATATTTCACAAAATCGCAGAAGTTAGAACCGATAGGTCACAGGATTCTGTCCCAGTGTCTCAACGGTATACGACCTCACCTTGTAATCTGAAGACCCTGTATTCGACTCCTCGTGTGGTCATGAGTAAGTGTAAGATCAATTCAATTCCCATCCTTGAATCAAGTCAACATGTCCCGGATCAACCTAGCGTTGTTGCAATCCAATTATCCATGCCTAACCTGTCTATCCCCCCTTGTTTAATGAACTGTGTATGTGTGTTTTATTTACATCGATCCGTTTAGTCAGACCGTTGAACTCATGACCCAATGAGAGTATTTTGTGAACTGTTATTTTTGCTGACTCATGTCTTACTTTGTACTATTCTGTCAAGTTTATCTTATTTATTGATCTTCATCTGTATCAGCCTACCTGGTTAAGTATCCAATTAAATTGTATCTTTGTGCCTATGCTCTGTCTATCTCTTAACCGCTCTCTGTTCTATGCCCTGCCTTACTTGGGTTCATTCTTCTACTGACTGCTTACCTGAACGGTCGTGTCTGATTCCGGCTAGTTCGCAATTTTGGCTTTAACGTTATTCCGCTCTGATAGCGGCACCTTGGTTTCTGTTAAGCGTTGTGCTTTGTACTCTTGAAACCGTTAAGGTTTGTTGTATATATAATTATTGATTTGTTTATTAATAGTACCGTAGAAACAGAGACCGGCTTCTTGTTTGTTCTGGACCGGAATAGCCTTTATCTACGCGTGACTTAATTTCAAGCGATATTGCGCTTACAGTAAGTACTGCTGAGAATTTTCAATTAAGGACGAAACAGATGTCCAGTACTCCCTGGTTTTTAATGGTTCTCTAACAGAAGTTAGTTTTTGCGATCACTTACAAAATCAATTAAATCCCTGTCAACCAAAACCAGAAAATCCTACTTCATTGTAAAAAAAAGGAACGCTTACTTTTGATGTAGACTGATCACAATGAGTATTCGAAGACGCATCTTCTTTATCTTCTACATTCGACTGAAGTGAATCAATTTTACTACCACTGACTCCTGACCATTTATCAACAACAGATATCAAATCATCTAAGCGTAAGGATTGATTAGAAAATAAACTATCCAAAGGATTTGAACTAGTGTTGGAATGAGATTGATGTGAAGTCGTTGTCACTGTTGTTGTTGTATTCGCTTTATTCTGATTTTCTGATCTCATCGACGGCCGACGTCTTGGCCCAATGACAACATCTTTTCTCGCTGCTGTCTCCATCGCTGAATAACCAATTAATCGAGCAGCAGCATACAACTGTGATGAGTTGTTTAACACCCCACGACGTTGTTGGCATAGATAACCAGCGATAGTGAATACGTCAGCCATACGACCTAACATTTCTGCATGTAGAATACCAACTGATGCAGTGACAAATATACCGCTTAATCCAGCTCCATATTCACAGACAACAGCTATCGGTCTGAGTAGATTTCTCTGTTGTTTATAATAATTGTGAACATGATTAATAAAGTCGACTAGTTGTACAACACTGTCACTTTCAGAAGATGAATTCTTCTCTGAGGGGACAGTTAAAGGAAACTGATAATGATATGATAAATGCACTAGACTACGGGTAATTTTTGTTTCTAAATTTTGTACTGTTAAAATTCTTTCAGTCCACGAATGTTGTTGTGTTTGGGATTGTGTAGAACTGGGCAGACGATTAGGAGAACCGTTATCCACAGGCGCTTCATTGGTATTACTACTACCGGAACTCTTTACATACGACTCTTTCATTGCTTGTAATCGAATCTCCAGACTACTACCGGGCAGTGACAGTCTGGCACCGATTTTATTCATTGGTAAATGCGCTGGTACACGTAATGGATCATTTTCATCACCGAAACCACCTTCACTATTCGACTGCAACATTGCTGTCGATGATGATGATGACGCATAGAATGGACTATCAGTTCTATTTGCCGTCATCCTTGCTGAAGGTGGCGCCAACATCACAACAACTTCACAGCCTTGTTCAAGTATCATGGTCCAGAAATCAATAACAGTTTTAGGCAATGGAGCCTGTGCAATAATATACCTTGGACACCATTCACCCAGGTTATTTTGGAAATCAATATAACTTGCATTGATATAATCATTTTTCAAGGATGACAAGACAACACGATTCACATCATAGGGGACAAAATCTTGACTACGATTTTTTGATGGACAACATAGAGCAGCTGCTTGAGTTGGACGTTTCCCGTTAAAATAGACAGATGTTGAAAAGTCATTGGCTAGCAGTTGTACTTTATGCCAGGCTTTATTTAACCTGGTCATACGATTGGTTTGTTGAGTTGTTAACATTGTTGTTGATTGATCATTGTCTAGATTAGAGATGATTTCATTTGGATTTTCAAGCCAAGTTAGTAGAAGTTCAGCAGAAGCAATGAATCGATTCAATACAAGTGGATCAGATAAAAGTTCTGGAGGAGGAAATTTATTAGCCTGAGAAATTGATTGATCAGAAGTATTAAGGCATACGGTAGATTTCACTGAATCATTATTAACTGAATCTGGCTTCATTGAATTTGAGCATGAATTATTATCGACTTTTGATATTTCTAAATTCGTGGTTTTCGATGATGCATCTAGATTCGATGATGATGAAGAAATGGATGTTGTCTGAGAATTCGAGTTTGATGAATACGCTTCACGCAATCGTTCTTCTCTACGTTTAGCATCCAAGTCAGCCTTCAGAGGGAGAGAAAAAAATTGAAGACAGTAAAAGAGTCAAACAAGAAGTTAAGCTACATTCCATTGAGAATAGATTAAGCAACAGGTTGTGGCTAACTGCAGCCACATTTACGACAGAAAAATTTATGGATCACATGTACAATACAGATACTGAAACAAGCGACAATATGTCGATTATGTCCAATGTTCTACTGAAACTTATTTAATATCAAAATATTGGAAATAACTTAGTCAGGGATAATGTTCTGATCGGTAGCTGCTACTTTGACATGGTGATTAAGTATGCACATCGCAGTAACCCAACGAATGTTCCTACAGGTTCCACCATGTCAAAAAGGTCATTTAGAGAGCGATTACACTGAAATTAGTTACCACCATATGTCACTCATACTATTTTTTTTAAAGAGGGGAGTCTGAGGACGAAGTCATACAGCTGGTGAATAAGAATGTAACAACCGTGAAGTGTCCCCTTCAGATGGCCAGCAGGCTAGCTATGCTGTCTCTTTGCTTTAGACCGGGAGGGTTGAAAAAGGTCGAGCGATAGTCGTGCGTCCCATCTTACCTCGTGGGTGGCGTAGCCGGCGATAAGACCTTAATATTTGTTAATCGCGACAGATAGATAGACTATGTGATAGACAGCTAATCAATATGACGTGACCTTCTTGTCGCAATTATTGGTTAATTTAATGTAACTCACACCACGTGATGTGACCTTGAGTGTTCTTTGTTGTCTGTCACTTTATTTGTGTGTACATGTAATTAATTAACTGTTCATTTTGTTCGTTCCCTCAATACTGTTCGGTACGTTGTTGTCCTTTTTTGAATGACAGTGGATTTGTATATTTTTCTTGGTGTAATTGTATGATTTATTTTATGTTTTAGAAACAGATAAAGTTTAAGTCAAGTCATTCTGTTTTTAACTATAGTTAAGCCAAGACTGTGTCGTCAGTATTGAGGAAGGACTAAATCTGTAGGCAAAATAATCCTACAATATTGACACAACTCTAAAAACTACTTTAAACAGACCGTGTCACCTGGGCTCTGCAGTTACGCAACACTGATACACCTTTAATTCAATTTAGGATTTTCGCGTCTATTCACATTGAAATGTCGGCTCCTTGTGCAGACGCTTCGACGATGTCTGATCATGCGACTTGAAGTCAATTGGTGGATGGTGACTAGCAAAAGAATCCAGGATGTGCATACCATCCTATTTGGGACTCATCATCTGGGTGCACCACCTGCATGCCCCAGTGAGTGATGGTGTTCCCACTGAGGCTCGAACCCAGAGACCACAGTTTCAAACGCCAAAGCGTTATCCACTAGACAACTTGGGTAACGAGAGCCGCCTCTTGTGCAACGGGTCTTATTAGTTATATCCAGATGGTGAGTCCCAAATAGGACGAAATGCGCATGCTGGATTCCACTGCTAGTCACCATTCACCAAGTGACTTCAACTAATACACCTGCTTAAAATATTTCCAGAGGAAATCAGTGAAAGATAGCTTCTCAAAGCTTGAGAGTCGTTTAATAACTGTACGTAAGCAATAAAACAAATGCCAGATTCAATAACATATCGACTTAACTCAAAAAAAGTATTCACAAACAACATTGAATCTCATAAATATTCCATGAGGATAGTTTAAAAATAATGTTTAATAGTTGGTTTGCAAGGATTAGATTTATTTCACGAGTTGATATCAGTTAGAGAACCATTGAAAACCAGGGAGTACTGGACAGCTGCTGTTTCATCCTAGTTGGGGAATCATCGGCAGTACGCACCCACTGGGGTTCGGACCCAAGACCAAGTCAAGCTCGTATACCATTTAGCCACTGGCACCCGATTCAATATCCAGTGCAATTCGTGACTTAGCGCGACTACCAACCAATGTCATAGATGGGACATACATCCTCGCACTTAACTGGATGAACTCCATTGGTCACGACTTCTCATTAGAACTCCAGGAAACCATCACGTGAGTGCGTACTGCCAATGATTCCCCAACTAGGATGAAACAGCTGTCCCGTACTCCGTGGTTTTTAATGGTTCTCTAACTGATATCAATCTGTGATCAAATCGTAAAAATAATGTATAAAAATAGAAGGCAAGAAATAAGAGAATAGTGTACGTAGAAGCGAAAACCGCAAATGACGACTACTATGTATTACTCTAGTAAAAAATTCTAAGTTGCTTTCGACAATCCCTGTTAATGTCGACCACGCAACTCTTGTTGGTCGGTACACACACCTCAGTTGAGATTGTATATTAGCATCTGGGAAACAAAATTCCTGTGATATGTAGTGCAACACGACAAGCCAATGTTATCTGCGGGCAACTGTTCTCAAATATGATTTGGTAAGCCCAGTCGGTTACGAGTTCTCATTAGGACTCCAGGTAAATTCCTGTATATAGCCATTCATTCTTAGGCGCTAGACTTATTATCAAGTGCTGGTTTGCAGGGATTTGATTGGTTACAAGTTTGTCCATGAGTTGACATCAGTTAGAGAACCATTGGAAAAACCTGTCGGGAGTACTGGACAGCTGTTTAGACCTACTTTGGGACTCTTCTTTAGTATGCACCCACCGTGGCTCAAATCCATGATTACCAGACAAGCTCGTAAACTATTTTCAGTCACTGAGGTCCATGAATTCCACCTTCTGGCCTGTGAATTGGCGGACGACAGTACCGTGTATGATCTAAATAAGCGAATAATATTCACAATGATCTAAAACAGATGTCTCGCTAAATCGCTTTAAGTGATAGAAAAAAAACACTGGCGTGTGGTAACTACAAAAGTGACAATTCAGTTGCAAATCAGTGAACGATCTCAGCTGTTATGACCAATCAGTGCTTATATCATTCTGAGGTGATAGATTAGTTTACCAATAACATTAATAGATGCACGTAAGAAGTTCTGTTCACCTTTCCAGAACACTTGAACAAAATAGATCAACTTGAAGCACAAAATAAGATACGACTAATACACATAAAAATTAACGTTCAGTGGAGTTATTTGGCTACCGAACTGTTCAGTAGTGACGACATTAACATAGAATGATAGTGAGCCAGGCTCTCGAGAGGAACCCGAATAGGGAATGGCGAGTGGGCCGACCGAGGGTAACATGGAGGCGATCGTGAGAGGAGGATATGAGAGACTATGGGAAACCATGAGGACAGTTGAATAGGACGGCAGAAAGTAGAATAAAGTGGAGACGTGCTGTTGAAGCCCTATGTTCCACTCGGAACCCAAGGGAACAACAATAAATATAATAATAACGATATTAACTGCAGCACAAGATGACATGGTGAGGTGTGCTTACCACATGTCATGCTAACGAGTACCAATAAGCAGGCGCAACCTACACGCTCAACTTCGTATCATCAATCAATGCAAAATACACTGTATTGAAATAATCTCTTAGTTTGGCTACTACACTGCAAGTTTCATAAGGCACATATAAGGATAGAGAAAAAAATGCCAAGAAGTGATAACAGAAATGTACAGGAGAAAGAATAATTACATAGAGATACAAAAGGACTTGATGGATCTAGGAGATTACCATCTTCACCACTGAAAACGATTTTACATCATGTCATCAACAATCTGTGATAAGGTGAGCAATATTGAGATTAGGCGTCGAGTGGTAGGTAAGGAGGGGAAATCAATAGACGAAACTGTGAAATTACATCGACTGAGATGGTTAAGACATGTGTTACGTATGCCTAGTCATCGCATTCCTCGACAATGGGCAATGTTAGCTGATACAGGGTCAGGCTGGAAAAATGCTAGCGGCGGTCAAACCAAAACATGGCACCAGTCAATGAAATCCACAACAGTTAGTTGAAGCCACGTAGGAAGATGTAGACTGGCTTCCTGGTTGGGGTCCTCGGGACGGTAAAAACCAATGGTTGGAAACAATTGGTGACATGGCTCAAAATCGTTCTCAATAGCTGGTGCGGATGCATCCAGTCCTTGTGACTTATGATTTCCAATTAAACTGTTTTGTTCTCCGTTATTACTATACCTTTGTCTCACACCTCTGTTTATTGTCTCTAGTATGCATTTCTCCTACTTTCTTCTCTTCCTTTGTGTGCCACATGGAGTGTGGCGACTTGAACTGCAGCACTTATGTGCAAAGTTCTATGTCGAAAACCGACCGAATCTCCGGCCATTGGATTCTTAGCGTTTCAAGGACTGTGGGCAGACAGTCTACATCTCCCCATCTGGCTCAAATCAATAGTCAAAGGATTTTATGGGTTAATTCCGTGTTTTGACGCAGCCACCCCTAACCCAGATAACTGTGCTCAATAAAGGAAAGAGGTAGTTTAGAAAGCTCAACACAACAGCTCTCAACAGATACAGATTGAAAAACTTATCAATTAAATTCCGTTAGCACTAATATATAGAGGGCAAAACATTAATTTACCACACACTCCTTTGTCTATCGATATATTGTGATACTGTACAAAGCAGCAATATATATATGAACACTGACCATAAACAGATAAATATTAATAACTCACCTTAGTTAAAACTTGAGGTTCAAGAGGAGAAAGTGATTTCGTGTTAGATGATGTGCAAACATCATTACTACTATCCAGAACTGAGCGTTGATCGAATGCTAAAGGTTTATCTGAGGTTTGTCCTACCGTTGAGATACCATTATTATTATTGTGATGGACACCAGAGAAATTAGAATTCTGATAACTTTGAGGTACACTCATCATTGAGGATAGAGATTGTGGTCGCAAATTATTCGGTTGTGGCTGTGACACTGGATATAAATACTGATTCTGATTAGGATGTGCTTGATACAATTGTGGTCCATGCACAATATTCCCCGTACTCGGTGGGTAATTGTTCATATGAGATACAGGTTGTGGATAGGTTGATGTAACTGCAGGAAGGGGAGGAGGTTGTTGCATGTTTGTAACTCCTCCTCCTCCTCCTCTGGGTTGTTGTTGTTGTATGGGGAGTGTTTGTGGATAGCCTTGGTGATATCCCTGACTCTGGTGAACTGGATTATATGTTGGTTGACCTGACCAAACAGGTTGCGGAGGGATTTGATGACTATTCGCAGCAGGAGGATAATTCGATGCAATCTGAGGATTACCTGGACGAAATGTTCCTTGAACAGTATTAGTAAATGGTGTAAACTGACCAGTGGTAGGCATATACGGCATAGTAGATGGTGGTACAGGAGTTCGTGTATTATTCAAAGCAAATCGTGGGTCAACTGCACCGGATGGATTGGTTGGCTGAACAGGAGGCATGTTGACAGTCTGTGGAGTGGAAATAAGCATTTGTTGATGATTAGGTCGCATTACATTTGTACTTTGAGGAAAACCACTTGTTACCGCTGTAGGATGACGAACAGTTGTTGGAAGTGTGGTAGATGGTGTCTAAAAAGAAGTATTTATGAAAGTTAAAAATGCCTTATTGGAAAAAAAAACAAGCAAACTTACCGGGAAATGTTGAGTATAAGGTGAAACAGAATTGGGAATAGAAGACGGCTGAAAATTACCACCAATCACATTCTGTTGTGGATTGTACATTGGCATATTTGGCATTGGTACTCTATAAGGCGGTTGGGACTATAGAATAAGAAGGAATAGAAGTTATTGTGAAAATAAGTATATCCATAAAACAATTTTACAGTCCACTTATATTCATAACACATACAGTTTAAACTGCAAATGTTTGCAAGAAAATACTGGTCTGATGTATAACTGAAGACGATAAGTCACATATGTTAATAAAATCCCGAATAGCACAACTCATCAAAGTGGTGAAAGTTTACATAACCGTGTCTGTGTACCCTACCTAGGAGGTATACCAGGCCCTGTTGGTTTTCAGGTGAACCAAACACACCCATCCCTGCCTCTTGCGAGACGAGAACAGCATGCAGGATCATCCTGTGACGCAACCACTCGAGAGCCCTCTCCCTCGATGGACCAAAGTCCTGATACCAAGTGTTATTATTACTTTTCCCTAGGGCTTGAACAATACATCTCAATTCCACCCTGTTCTCTGCAGTCTTTTCACCTATTAAAACGATTGTCCATAAACTTTTAATTTCCTCCTCACACGATCTCCTCCATACCCTCTTCAGATGCCCAACTAGCCACTTAATGTTCGAAATTTCACTCAACGACCTGTTACTTGATGGTTCTTGAAGGTCTCCTCAACCCATGTGCAGCTAACCGCCATTTTGTTATACATATTCGTTGGGGAGTTGAGAAAGCATTTTCAGCTGAAAATCTGCTGTTGGAAATGCTTTGTGAGATGCATTATGTCTATCAATTATATAAAACCACTATACTCACTTGATATTACTGATGAATGAGGTTGATAAAGGCTTGTTTGACGATTTGTATCAGCTACATTTGATTAGTTGTCAAAGAGAATCACTGTAGAACGATGGAAAACCTCATTTAGCATTTACATAAATAAGTGCACACGCCAGTCAGATCTCTAAATGTCTATTAAACAACGAGTTTATATTCCATGGTAATTCTCCTTTTTTCTACTCTAAGACTGAGAAATACAGTTGCTGAAAGTGAAACAACTTGATGTTTCTTCGTTCTAACGATTATACATCAGGGAATTAGGTGGGTGTGTTTAAATGCCACTTTTATCTATAGTCGCCTGTCGCGTCATACAATGGTGATTGTGAGGAAAGTGATTGTCGTTTACCTCCGCAGGCTGATTTGCGAAGGGTAGGCTAGGTTTTTTTCAAACCATGGATTGACCCTTGCATCAACTGCTAGCACACCGTCACACACGTATTGCAGGCTGAAAATCTTTGTGTTGAGAGTGTCTTCCATTTGCTGGACAGAACTATTCTCTGGGACTGTCTGTTAGATAGGCGTGTAACTGAGATGTCCGTAAACATCGCTACACCAAAAAATCTTAGGTAGACTGAGGACATACAACTTGTTCTTAAGGGGCTGTTCGCAACCAACAATGGCGTTAGACAGGGCCGCCCAAACTCACCATTTCTCTTTACCCTTGCCATAGATGACATTCTGGAGCATGGGTGGCGGTGATATACATCAGGCTTCCCAAAGAAAGACTTTTAAACCTTGATTACACACAGGAGATATCATCCTACTGTGTGATAGCATACAGGCTGATCAAATAACACTTAACCTGTTGGCGACCAGAGTATGTAAGTATGGTATCTGTTTAGTGCTGTCCAAGTGCAACGTACTGTTACAAGATTAGCAGAAGTCTGTGCCTGCACTCACCTTCACAAGTAAATCACTAGACGTTGTCGACAAGTTCGTGTGTGCACGTAGTTATGTAAGTGCTGAAGGAGTGATGAATAAAATCTCTTGGCATACAGTGAAATCCATGGCAGTATACTCCAACCTGAACCACCTGTAGCGCGATGGTGACGTTAGCCTGCCTGTCAAAGTTCGGATTTACTATGCTTCACAGTGAGCGCAGTTTTGCTCCTATTCCTACTTTATTAGTTTTGTGTGGCACATCTCTTGGTTCTCATACTATACTAAGTTTGTTTTAACAATAAATAAATAAATAAAAGACTGAAGATCCACTATTTAAACAAAATGAAAGCAAACGACAATGTAATATTCCTACCTACCTGAGAAGTAGGTTGATAAGAGAAAGGTTGACTGACAATCGGCTGTTTGAAATAGGTGTCTTGTGACTGGGCTTGACGATGTAATACAGAATTATCGCCTACAGACTGATTTGTTTGGATTGTAGTTGACGTGAAAGATGGAGTGGAGTTTGTAGGAAAGTTTGGCTGTTGAGGTTGATGTGATTGTGGGTGTTGTGGCTGTTGTGTCATAGGCTGCATAGATGATGTAGGCCATCTCATTGACGCTGTATACATATTAGATTGTGGTTGAACACCTGAGGAACGCATTGCTTGCATATAATCACCAAGAGTTGGAAATGAAGGAACTGATACAGATGGGAGACGAGGCAATGAACCAGTCGACATATCTTAGGTAGGAAAATGGTAGAAATACACAGTAAACGACCAAGGAATAAGACAAAATAATGCTCTATTATAAAGATAAAAATAAAAATACCTATTTCCAGATGTTAACTACTTGGGGACTGAAAGCAATTTCAAAGTGGATTTTGTCACACAACCATCCGTTATATGCCCAAAAAGCGAATACTCAAAAACTAACTCACTACGAACTAGCGACTACCTCAGGCATGGACTTCAAGAGTTCGAATGGGAAGGTATGACAGATGGAGTTCACCAACTCGAGTGTAGCGACAGAGATTCCCTGATGAGACTGGTTGATAATACTGCCATACAGCAGCTACAATTTATAGTTCCATGTTAGATAACTTCGAATAAGAGTTATCCTGTGTAGAGAATATACCTGCGTGATAATGGTTATCTACGGAAGTTCATTGACAAACAGAGAAAACGTATTGTGAAAAAGATGAACTACAGTACATTGGAGAAAAAGTTTGTTATTCTAGAGCTTGCCTTCAGAGGTAATCATATCGCTAGTAGAATAAAATACAAACTGAACGCTGCATTGAAAAGAACATATCCAGCCACCAAGCTTCGTTGTGTGTATCAAACAAATAGTTGTTGAAAACAATCAAAAGGGGATAAACACGCACTACATGTTACCTGCAACTGCATCTATCAATTCACGTGTACGTGGAGAGAGAGAAAAGTTATTGTCCGAATTTCTCAACGCATACTCAAGAATGTGATATGAAAAGAGCTCACAAGCATTAAATAGTGCGACTGCAGACCATCTGTTGGACACTGGTCATATTGCGAACAATCCGAAGGCATTCAAAATGATCAACAGACAAAAAGAAACTTAGCCTGTTACGTTTTGGTGAGGTACTCACCACCATACAATTAAAACCAAATCTACATAGAAACAGACAGTGGTGAATCTGGCACTACCTTGACGACTAAACTTACAAAACAAAGTTATGCAATTTTGATTACATCAAGTTTTCTTTCATATCTCCTGTATTGTTCAGAAAATTCTATTTTTTTGCCCTATTAAATGCGCTAAATATATCACGAATTGGCAGCACTTAGAATTCATGGGGCCATTGAGTGGGGTTTCAGTAACAAAATGGTTTACGAGCTCGTCTCGCATCTTCAGTTGAGATCATGGACACTGCTCGTACAGAATGTTATTCAGTGTCCTGATATGGTGACATGGGAGTTTCTAAAGATGTTGAATTATTGTGAGACAACAGCTTGAAGAATAGTATGGCATATGTGCGTAAGTGGCTTCAAGTCCTGTTTAACTTTAGTCTCACTGTAGGTCTGCAAAACTTTCTTTTTTTTATTCCTTCACGTTCCCAGTGGAACATAGGGCTTCAAGCTAGAGGCTTGAAGTTTCTGTAGCAGTGGTGCTTATTTTTACAGGATGGGGTTGCTAGCCTCACGCCCAACCTTTTCCTCTTTACCAGCTTTTATTTCTGGTTTAGCGAGGTAAAGGAGTGCGTCGGCTGGGGATCGAACCCCGGACCATGTGCCTGGTCGGCGAGCGTCCTAACCGGTATGCCACCGACGCTGAGCGAAACTTTCAGTACAAGGCAAACAGAAGAGGAGAGACAAGCAGCAAAGTACCAGAGTCGGATTTTTAACATAAACGTTAAGTCAGTTCTTCTATGTGGGTCAGAAAATTGGCGCTTCGCAAAAAACATTTCTGACAGGCAGAAAATATCAACAGCTGCCTTCGTTGCATATTGAAGATCAGATGGCCGACCAGAAAGAATTAACAGCAAGAAACTCTGGGAACGAGGCAATCAACAAGATGTTGCTCCCCAAATATGCAGAAGAAAGCAGGGATGGATTGGAAACACGCTGAAAAGACCATCGAATGACATCGCGCGCCAGGCCCCTACCCCAAGTGAAACCAGGATGGAGATTAAAGAGTTGGGCGTCAAATATAAGGAGAAATGGAGAGGATCGTGTGAGGAGAAGATTAAAGAATATATGCAATAATGGGACCAGGTGAAGAGGACAGCTGAAAATAGTACAAAGTGGAGTTATACTGTTGAAGCCCTCTGTTCTATTCAGAAACCAAGGGAACAATATTAATAATAATTTTTCTGAAAATGAAATGCTTCGCAGGAGTAAAGTAAATAAAAAAAACTCAGCTGAATTCAACTCAACCTACTTGGTAAAGGCTTGGATAATTCAGATATTGTTGAACGTAACTGTTTGTTGAAGTCATCAATCAACTGGTCCGTCTCTTTATCAATTTGTTTTAATTGATCAATTAATTCAGTGTAAAATGTAATGCCTTGTTTAGCTTTTAACAGGATACCATCAAATGCTTCACCAGCTGACAGTATACGATTGAATAATTCCGATCGTCTAAAAACAAGCAGAAACAATTACAAATGTAAAAGGGCATGATGCAGAATGGAATTTATTACTTGTAAGTCGATTAACCAAAATGACACTTGTAGACGAGAAAGGCTGAAAATACACACAGTGAGTGAGTCACCCGCCCCCGTAGAAACAATGTAGTACAACCAAGGGTGGGTAGAACTCGGTCTTCATCTCCAAATGTTTTCATGTAACCGCACATTCACAGCCTCTGCCAGGTAAGTCCTATTCACCGCCTTCACACGGATATGGTGTTCCTCACAGAAAGTGAAAAGGAGAGTGAGAAAATCTGGCATTTACAACCGGACTAGTGGACGTGCAGGTCTACATAGAGGAACTGGAAAACCCTCATCCCAAACCTATGGTATATATGGACTACAGAATCCGAAAGGATCAAATGACGTATGAACTTGTTATGGCAACCAGAAACCAAGGCGCCAATGCACTGCCTTATGGATCAAACTTCAAGCAGAAGCCTCGGGAGGGACCCTTTAAGACAACCATCTGCTTCTGTCTAGGAGTCCAAGTAATGCCCCAACCTTCGGATGAAGTGTGAAGCATCTCTTGGTGCCCATAAAAAACAAACAAAAATTGAATGAATCAGGAAACCAAAATGGACAATCTTACAAAAGGACTCCGATGGAGCTGTGTAGTCTGGATTCATCAGATGCTCGAAAATCCTACAAAGTAAACTCAGAACAGTACACAAGAGGTGTAAGTAGGTGTAAGTCGACACGTGTATAGAAGAGGCGATAGCGATTCGTTCACTCAACACCGAACTCTAAGTGCACGAGAGATTTGTTCAGTCTCCTGCTCAGCTAGGGTTTTACACTCCTTCCTATTCCCTGCTAAACACCTTCACAAGCCCCTTTTGTACATTTGATTAGTCAGTAATTTGTTCTCATCTTCGCACTTGTCAAACGGACACTCAATCACTTTACTAATTATGTCATTTAATTTTTAACCTTGCCTAAGTCTAAATCCTTGTTTCTATTGTGACGTTGCTTAAAACGTACCCTCTTCCAATCTATAGAAATCAGTCTCACTAACTTTATCAACTATTGAGTATTAGTTTACAGAAATTTGATTGGCTTCAGGTTAAAACACAAACTGATATCGGTCACAGAAACACTGAGCGAGAAAGTACACGATAGTTTTTCTATTCTACTTAGCAACTCTTTAGAAATACAAACCTATAACATCCCCAGAGATCTATTTATCCAAAGATCTTCAGGTTACTAAGCAAGCCTGTTCCACATTCAAACACTGGGAGGGGATCTAATAACCCAGGGATTCTAGCTTTCGCCAATCCACGATAATATCATGTCCCCTTCAATACACACCCCTAACTACTATATATTTAATAATACATTATCATAAGTTTTAGTAAGTATGAATAACAACTGTTAGCCTCTGAAGATGAATCCATCGAAAAAGAAAGTTTTCTTCGTTGATTCTCTCCCCTCCCTCCCCCTATGTAAAGCAAGGTTCTAACTCAGCATAAAAATGGATGAAATTACTAGCACTATTTCGTTATGACTGATTAAGGACTACAACAAAATGCCAATAAAGAAATGAATCAATTATCACTCGTTCATCCCACCGGTTGAATAATCAACCTATCCGCCTGATAACCCGAAGATCATAGAGTCGATCCCATGTAAGGACACTGGTGCATACTTCTAAGGAGTCCCTAAACTTAATCGAAACAGTGGTCAGTACTCCTTGGTTTTTCGCGTCGGTGGTTCAGTAGTAAAATGTATGCCAATTATAAAAATGGCCCGGATTCGATTCGCGACCGGCGCGCTGGCTCGCTGGCTGGATTCAACATAGAACTTGGCACCGAAGTGCAACAGTTCGAGTTGCCACGTTCTAAATACCACACAAAGGTAGACAAGAAGATCAGTGAAGAGAATCAATAGAGTTTTGACAAGTATAAGAGTGAAACAGAATGAGTAAAGGTAGAAAGGAATATGAAAGTTTACAGAGACTGAATACATCTGTGCCATTGACAACGATTTTGAGCCATGTCACCTATTGTCTCCAGCCATTGATTCTTAGAGTCCCGAGGGCGGGCCCCAACCCGAAGTCTGCATCTCTCTACCTGACTCAGTTTAACTGTCAAGGATTTCATGGATTGATGAGGCCATGTTTCTGTTTGGCCACCACTTACTTTTTTCCAACCAGCCTGCACCTATATCAGCTAATAATGCCCGTTGGGGGAGGCGATGGTTAGGCATGCGCAGCACGTGACCTAGCTATCTCAATCTATGTAACTTCATAGCCTCTTCGAGTGATTTTCCCTCTTTGCCCAACACTCTACGCCTAACGTCAACATTACTTACCTTATTATACCACCTAACGTGAGAAAGAGATCGTAGACATCTATGATCAAAAACAGTCAACCTTTTCATGTCTTCAACTAGTATTGGCCATGTTTCAGAGCCATAGAGTAAGACGGAGCGAACTGCTGAGCAGTACACACGTCCCTTGTTTGATAGTCGGATGTCACGCCTACGCCAGAGATGGTGTAAGTTAGCGAAAGCAGCCCGAGATTTTTGGATCCGTGCTGAGATTTCGTCGCAAATCAGTCCGTTGGTGCTGATACAACTTCCCAAATAGGTGAAGTGGTCAACATGTTCTATCACTAAGCTAGGGGTAGACGTAGTCCAGTCCTGTAGTAGCATCTTACATTTTACAGGGGCGAATCGCATGCCAAACATACGAAGATTGCTGCTCAAGGTGTTCAGAAGACTCTGCATTTTGTCAGCATCCTCCCCTAACAGGACTGTGTCATCTGCATATTCGAAGTCCATAAGACAAGTCGATTCCTAAGTCGTTAAGTTCAGTTAAGGATACTTCCATTAGCATATATATGATGAAGTTAAACATGAATGGGGAAAATGGACATCCTTGACGGACACCACTGGTTGTTATCAATTCAGATGACAATTCCCTATAAGCCCTTACACAGCTACGTGAGTTTGAGTAGAGTGCTTCGATTAGTGCAATGTACTTTCTTGGCACTCCCTTTACAGTCAAACATTGCCATAGTACCTCTCGATCCACGGAATCGAAGGCCGCCTTCAAGTCAAGAAATATGGCAATTGCTGGACGCCTAGAAGTGTGTCTATGTTCTAGGATCTATCGGAGAGTGAAGATATGATCTATGCACCTTCTACCTGGCCTAAAGCCCGCTTGATTTTCCCTCGTTTGTTCCTCCCGAGTTCGGCTTAGTCTGTGCGCTAGTTTACCTCGCATAGTTTACTGACCGACAGTAAATTTGGAGAAAAGAGGGAAGGTTGGATATGAGGCTGGAAACCTCACCTCATTTAAAGATCAACACCACCACCATCAATGAAACTTCAACAAATTGAAGCCCTCGCCCCCCCCCAGGAGGGGGGACCCAAGAAATGAAGAGAGAGAAAAGAAAATCACTCACTTTGTTCGCATTTCATTTATTTTCTCCCATTTCGGTGCAAATTCAGCATTTAAATCAATTAACGCCGATTGAATATTACCTTGTGCAATTAAATTCTGTTTAATAATATTAACAAGGCTGTCATGTTTTGTTTTCAGACGATTTGTAAACCATTCGTTTATATCCTTTTTACTTTCATCTGATGAAATAATTAACTCACTGCTGACATCATCTTCATGTAGTGCAGTTCTTAACTGTCGAATTAAATCATGTCGTTGTTGACGCATTTCATTAACTTTACCAAATATACGCTTTGATTCATTAACAGTATTTGTAAATGTATCGTCTGTTATTTAGAGTGGGAAAAGGAAAACCAAAAATATAGAATTGTGAGTTGCTTTGATAGTTATGTAAATTTGTATTTTATGCTATAAGACAATAAAGTACGGAAGAAAAAAAACCTCGTTTCGTTAGAGTTTTTTGTGCTAATCATCAGTAAGATGTAACTATGACAGTTAGTAATGTCTAGTGTTACACGAACTCGAAGATCTTTAGGCGAAAATCAACAAATTGGCTGAAAAGAAAGCCAAAACAAAAAAAACAGGACATCACATCAATTGAACACAGACAAGACAGAGATGATGAAAACATTTAACCAACAACAACAACAACAAGCACCAACCACTGTCAACAAGAGAAATCTAAAATATTAGATTGAGAAGAACAAGAAGTTCAGCAAAGATATCGAACTTTTCGGCGATTTCATTCTCAAGAGCTGTACAATCGCATTTATATAGATTAGTTTACATGGATACAATTCTTATTTGTTTAATTCCAAATAGTAACGAAGGTGATAATAATTTTCAACTTGATATGAAAGTTTGAAGGTACGAATATAAATTACAAGGGGCTTAGAGACAAGATTGTATAGGATTAGATAACAGATACAACGTATGCAAAATTAATATTTGATAACTGGAGAAATAGTTTTAAAGGCGAATAAAAGGTGATAATTGTTTTCAACTTGATATGAATTACAAGAGGCTTAGAACGAATTACAGGTGTGAACAAAATGAGCATGGAAACAAATTGAAATCAAAATTTTCAACTTGAAATGTAAGTTAGGAGGTGTGAATATAGATTACAAGAGGCATAGAAACAAAAAATTACACAGGATTAGAACATAGTTGTAAAATGGTTATTCTAAACAGATTACAAGTGTGATCAGGAGGAGCATGGGAACAAACTTAAAATAACTGATTTTATAACTGAAAAACAGGATGAATTGAATGAAGGTAAAGAGAGAAAATTACACACACACAGATAACAAAACAGAAAAACTGAAGGATAAGGGAACATACTGAAATTATTATCTCCTTCGTTACTATGTGGAATTACACAAATAAAAATTGTATCCATGTAAACTTATCTATATAAATGCGATTGTACAGCTCTTGAGAATGAAATAGCCGAAAAGATAGATATCTTTGCTGAACTTCTTGTTCCTCTAAATCTAAAATAAGTTAAATATCTTTCAATTCCTCAGCAGTATCACTTAAACTACAGGCAGCATGGATGAATATATGTCAAAATCGGGATCGAGAAGGCAAGAGACAGACGTTCATCACTTTGAGATCAGTGTGGAAACCTACACTATTACTACTCAACATAAGGAACGAAATTCCGATTTTCATCACTAATGTGTCAAGTCACTTTTTCTATATGGTTCAGATACTTGGCGCGCGTTTATCACCTTGAGTATTCCGAACAGCCTGTTGCAGACTTTCATCAGCAGCTGTCTTCCCATACTGTCTCCATACTGAAGATCAGATGGCCAGCTGGAAAGGAAAAGCAATAAGAAACTCTTTCAACGAACCAACCAAGAACCAACTGTCCAATAAGGATGCTGACAAAAGTGGAGATGGACACTGGTTGAGGAGAGCGTTAAGTGACATCCAGCGCCAAGCTGACGAGTGAGACCCGAATGGGAAACTTAAGGGGATAATAATAATATTGGTTATAGGATTTCATCATGAGCTGACATCGGTTACAGAACTATCGGAAAACCTGGGAGTGCTGGACAGCTGTTTCATCCTAGTTTTGGACTCTTCATCGAACCCAGGGTCTTCTGGTTACAAGGCGAGCTTGTAGACCATTAAGCCACTGGAACTCGATCCAATGACCCATGAATTCCAAATTCTGCCAATTCACAACATAGTGCGACCACTTATCAATGTCTTCTTTGATGAGTAACCGTCCTCACACCCGACCCGCTGTATCCTACTGGTCACGACTTCCCACTAGAACCCCAGGTAACTACATACAACAGCATACAGAATTTCTTCAAAACAATAACCGCTTAGAAAGGAAATCATGTATTTGGAAAGTACACAGTTTAAGATATTTTTTCCCGTCATAGCAATCTCCTTCCCGTAAAATCTGGATATATTCAAGCAACCGCATTACGTGATTTGCTTTACTTCAGAAAAAGCATCAGAGTTGTGTAAACTACAGGAATACAATATATGGCTAGTAACTCACATGAGTGTGATTTAAACTGATCCGACTAACTGAGACCAATAGGTTCATGAGTATCAGTGATTAAGCTAGATTCTATTTGAGCAAACTAGCCGTTCACAGTGTATTTAGCTAACGTGAATATTGGTAACAGACACCATTATCTATCCAACAGCTCATAACAGTCGAAAATGCATACGATACGGAGACATTTGTTAGGTTAATATAAATAAGTACAGTAAAAACTGTCCACTTCTGCAATGGAACTATCGACAATCTCAGAACTGACTGGTAGACGACTATCGTGGGTTGATCGAACTGATTTGTAAATTAATGATACCTACAGTAGTTCACTCGGTGCTCGCCTATCAGACAGTGGTTCACAGCCCTGTTCCACATCACAAAAGGTTCAGGGCGACCAGCCTTCTCTCTCACACACACACACATGGCTCATTGACAACTGTATGAAAATAAAAGTGGTCATCACAAGTTGTAACAACAGCAACAACATCCGGCGCTAATCACCATTAACGGGAGGGATTTGAAAGAGGTTACTTCATCCACCTATCTAGGAAGCATTGTCTCAACTACAGGAGGAACGGACGAAGATGTCAAATCGAGCGAGAATCTGGAAGGCGAGAAACACATTCATCAACCTGAAACCAATCTGGAAATCTTCCGCTAACACTCAACATCAACAACGAAATTCCGATTTTCAATACAAACGTCAAGTCAGTCACTTCTTCTATACGGATGGATCAGAAACTTGGCGGTGGGTCACAAAGAATATTTCCAACAGCCTGTTTCACACCTCTATCAACAGCTGTCTTCATTCTATACTGAAGATGAGATGGCCGGAAAGAATCACCAACAAGAAACTATGGGAACAAACAAAACAAGAACCAATCGCCCAACAAATATGCAGGAGAAAGTGGAGATGGATTGGACACTCGGTGAGGAGGCCGTTGGGTGACATCGCGCGTGAGGCCAGTGCTCGAGTGGAACCCGAAAGGGAAGCGACGAGTGGGACGTCCAAGGGTGACATGGAGTAGATCGTGTGAAGAGGAGCTGAAACAGTATGAACTAACATGGATGCAGGTGAAAAGTACAGCAGAAGACAGAAGCAAGTGGAGACGTGTAGTTGAAGTCCTATTTTCCACTAGGAACCCAAGGGAACAATAATAATAATACTGTGGTGAGAGCAAGCTGCTAGCCAATTGGTAGACATTGATCTACGCTGATTGGTAGAAATTAATCTAGGCTGATTCAACAACCGATCACAGCTGACCTAGACGTGGACAAATATGATTCGCAGACAAGTGGCTCGCATTTCCGAGAAATATCGAAAACGAGAAAGCAGAAGACTGCGTTTGTTTGCAAACAACCAATCAGAAGACCGCCTTCTTTCTGCGGGCAGAAGCCTATTAATGTACGTAAAATACATATAAATACCTGTTGGTTTTCGTAATAAAACTGATCTGTTGCCAGCCTTGTCTTCTGTTGTTACAATACAAGTAATAATTCCATTTATCCAAATAAAAAGAGCCCCCACATTAAATTGTACTGAATGTGAAAGAGCAGATAAACAAGATTATAGAAGGTAAAAACTTACCACTAGTTAGATCATTTGTCGACGGTAAACTCTTATTAAAATCATCCCATGATAAGGTTAGTGTATCATCGAAGGATTTTATCTGTTGACTGATAAACTCTCTCAATTGACCATTCGATTGTTTTGCTTGTTGACTAGCTTCACGTAATGATTGAAAGCGTTCTTTAATATTTTTTAAAATAATATTGAAGTTTTTCATTTTTTCACTGCTTTTAGCAGCCTAATAATAATAACAATAATAATAATAGTCGCAAGACAGATTCGTTTCAAAGTGATATCAGTTAAAAAAAAAACATTGAAAACGAGAGAGCATTAAATACCTGTTTCCGACTACTTTGGGACACCTTCAGAGATGTGCATCCATGACCCGCCACCCTCCCGCCAAAGATTCGAACTCAAAAACAGACAGCTAGCGAAGTGATTCCATCTGACACTCAGTTACCACTATGGAATCTAATCATCCGTGAATTCTAACTTCTTTTGATTCCTAATATTGTCCCACCACCATCCAATCTTATCGGCAAGTATTTATCAACAACACCTACTTGGTAAACCGCACCGGTCCCGAAGACGCTGGGTTTGATTTTTGGTGCGATCGTGGGTAAACAGTGCTGCTCAGGAGTTCGAAGCTGGGACGAAATAGCTGTACGATGAAGTTGTGAAGCTACATCGATTGACGTGGTTAGGATACGTGTAGTGTGTGCCCAGCCATCACCTTCTCTGTCTAACAATCTTGACTGACACAGGATTACGGTGGAAAAGAGTTAGGAGTGGTCAAACGAAAACATGCAATCATCAACCCATAAAGTCCTTGATTATTCGTATGATCCCCATGTACGGAAGGGTAGGCTTCCTAGTCGAGGTCTTCAGGATTCTAAGAACCAATGACTACAGATTATTGGTGATATAAATGGTTGGAGGCAATTGGCAGGAAGCTTTGGACCTAGGGTTTCATGCCAGTTGGCACTCACCAGTCAGCAAGGCGTATCTGCAGCCTTGAAGGAACTCATGTCCCTCCTGAGACTCGAACCTGCGTCACCCAATGCTACGGTTTGCCAACTAGTACGAAATATAGGTTCAAGGCTTCCTGCCGATTGCCTCCAACCATCTAACAACAACAATTCAAAGTGTACCGTGATGGCGAACTGCCCAGAATGACGGCCACATTGCAAACCTGACTGATAGAATTCAGTCTGCACCAAACAAAGGACTAAATACATCACACTAGTTACTAGTGTCCAATGAAAGTATTGGTGAAATAACTGGAAATCGTTTCGAATGGCACAGATGCATACACTCTTTGTTTGTTATGACCCTGATCCATTAAATCATCATGCTTATCATCTATGTTACTCTTCATTCTTCCGTACATTTCTGCTTAACATAATTCTTTTAACTTTCTTTTCTCTCTCTCTTTTTCCTCTACTACCATTTGTGTATTACATGCAGTATGTGACAGCTTAAGACTGCTACACTTTTGTGTAACGTTCTCTGTTGAAATTCAGTCAATTAGTCAAGTTCATGATGAAAAACAACACTTAAAATCAATCCAATCTCAATAACTTAAACTTTGAAAATAACGACAATAATAAGAAGAGAATTGAACATAATGATAACTATGAATTGATGCTAGTGTTAACACATTATTTTAAGGAACTTTAAATGCAGCAGTAAGTGCAGCAAAAGGTTATTTAAACTAATAAACCCATGTGTTCGTAGCTGGAATTTATGTAGGACAACCCGAAAGCCTAAGAAGATCGATCCATAGAAAACCTACTTGGAATGGTCAACTAACAAGCTTCTATAGCTGGGTACCCATTCAAAAAAAGCGAAATTTAATTAAATCACTTGCCACCTCCATCCGACGCATCTGCAGTCCCGACGCTCTGGAAACAGAATTAGATATTCTAAGGGAAATTTTCATTCAAAATGGATACCCAATGAGATTCATCGACAAAAATATCAAACCAAGAATTCGGACAAATGAAACTCTATTTGCGCCAAAAAAGAAACTCTACACGAACCTGGATTTCAAGGGAGATTTAGCAAGCGATATTCTCAAGAGAAGGATCATATCATCTCTGAGAAGAACATTCTTTGCAGCCACGCTAAGAATAGTGTTCTCCAGTCGCCCACTGATCTGCAGAAGCCTCAAGGACAAGATCCGCATCTGACCACTTCTATGTGCATATATCAGTTCACCTGCTACTGTGGAGCCAGGTACATCGGTCGTCCGACGCGCATCCTGTCCAAGAGGATTCAAGAACACTATCCAGCCAGCATTGTTGCGAAAAGGCAATAGTGGTGCAATAAGGAGTGCGATAATTGAACATCTGGTTAACACTGATCATTCCATTTCAACAAACGCTTCCTTCAAAGTAATCTACAGAGTTAAGAACAACCTATCAAATGCAATACGGTTTCGCCTTCTTTGTATCGCTGAAGCTCTGGCCATTCACATAGAAAAACCAGAGCTGTGCATACAAAAGAGGATTACTCAACCATTTCTACCGTCTTGGTAACAACTTTTTTCATCCGATTTTTTTTGATGACTTCATTTTGTTTCTTTGCCTGTTTTTTAATTGCCTATAATTCTTGCATACATTTATAACTCTTACGTAATTTCGTATTATCTGCTTTGTTCCTATGTGCATCCTGAGTAAAACTCACTCATCAAGCTATTCACATTATTACATAACTTATTTTAACAACTGTTTGTGACAACTCATCACCTTTGTTACTACCCTAATTTCACTAACACCTAATTTTCTTGACCTTTTTTGTACTACGTAACTCCAATTAGCAGTCTTCACCAGTTTAGTCAAAATAACTATAACCAATTGTATTTTTGTTTGATAAACTTATTGTACACATACATACAAAATAACACATATATATTTGCGATTGTACAGCTAAGAAAATGAATTCGCCGTCGAAAAGAGACTCTTCACTGATCAACGTGTTTAATCATTATTGCCTGGATGGGGATTATACAGGAACAACCCGAAAAGACCTATATATTTGTGGTAGTAGACTTAAATCTCAATGGCACAGATGGTATTTACTCCATGGTGGGTTTTTTCCCCAGATTCTGAAAATCCTCCCTAACCATCAACTAATTTATTCTCTTTCCAGGACATTTTTATCTCTTGTCACCGCATTTCATTTCTTTTGACCGGCTTTATGTGCACTCTTCCGAAGTGTGACAACTTGTGAACCACCGATGATACACAAGGCTGTAGAGGGTAGCGTCGGAATTTGTGTCCCCATGGTTTCCGATAACCAGTAGATGTTCTCATACGTCATTCGATCCTTTCGGAATCCGGAGCGCATGTAATGTTTGGAATAAGGGTTATCCAGCTCCTCCTCTAGTCAAACCACCTGTGTGGTTGTAAACGCAAGACTTTCGTATTGACTCTCACTTTTGCAAGGAACAGTTTTATCATAATTGAATCAAAAAAATAGTGGATATACTAACAGTAATAATACTGACAATACATTTCGAACAATCTGATCACACACGGACTTGTCACAGGAATATATATGAAACTAATAAAGAGGTAAGAGGTGAGAAAATAAACTACTTAGGTCAAGTTAAAAGGACATATTGAAGGTCGAAATAACAAGGAAGACCACTAAACCAAATAACAGAGGTAATAGTACATCTGCTATGGTATTAAAACAAAATTTACCAAAGAAGGTTTAATGTGATGACGAATTGTTTTTGAACGCATAAAGGTGGCTTAAACTTTCTAATTGCTAGGGCTTCCAATATCATAATAATAGAGAATGTGAAGCCAATATATCTATCTAAGCCCTTCGAACATGCGAAAAATGATGTCACATCCCACTGTATTTACCAATTTGAATGTACGTGTGGACACACATACATAGGGAGGACTCATCGATCTCTGCAAGTAATGGCTTCAGGGCATATTCCTAAATGGCTCCAGAAACAAATGGAATCTCCAGAACCTATTAATGGTGAGAACAGGAGACCTAGCTCTTCTATTGCGAAACATATTATAGAGACAGGACGTAAAATTGACGTTAACAGATCTTGTAAACCTATCTATAAAACGTGTTTGGGGCGTATCCTAAAGTTTTTGGAAGCCCTAGCAATTAGAAAGTTTAAGCCACCTTTATGCGTTCAAAAACAATTCGTCATCACATTAAACCTTCTTTGGTAAATTCTGTTTTGGTACCAAGGCAGATGTACTATTACCTCTGTTATTTGGTTTGGTGATCTTCATTGTTATTTCGACCTTCAATATGTCCTTTTAACTTGACCTAAGTAGTTTATTTTCTCACCTCTTACCTCTTTATTAATTTCATATATAAACCTGTGACAAGTCCGTGTGTGATCAGATTGTTCGAAATGTGTTGAGCAAATACATTACACACACGATTCAGACAAATTACGTCTTCTTATTGCTTTATCTGAATTCATAAAGGGAACTAATTGTTTTAAATACTGACAATGGCAATAATAATAATAACTGTTAAAGTAATCATAACAATAATAAGCATAACACTTACAAGTAATGCACTGAGACATTCATCGGCGTCATTAATTTTAGTAGATAAATTTTCAATTTCGCTATCAGAATCAACACTGATACTTACAAGATCTATTCAAAATAAAAAATTATAAAAAATAGGCAGACATTCAGTAAAAAAGGCATTTACTTCAAATCAGCGCTACTTGAAAACAACGACACATAAAGAGAAAGCCAACAACACACAAATGGAAGAAGAATTTTAAAAAATATGTGGATGAAAGTGAATGAAAATCTCCGAGATATCGAGACAAAAAAAATTAAATGCACCTTCATTTTTGGGATAGATTTTTGACTAAGTCTCAAATAGGATCAAGACCAGGTAACATATAAGTGACTCTAATGGACTGATGTCAGCTCATGATGAAATCTGGTAACTGATCATATCCCCCTGCTAACCAACACTTGCAAATTATTTCCGATGAATACTAATGAATGTCTGAAAACAGGTGGTTACTTAGAGTTCTAGCGAGAAATCATGACCAGTGGAGTCTACCAAGTCAAGGCATGAGAACAGTTACTCGCGGATGACATTGGCTGGTAGTTGGGCTATGTACATTTTTAATTGATGGGAGTTGGAATTCATCGGTGATTGATTCGGGTCCCAGTGATTAAACAGGGTCTACGAGCTCCTGTTTTAACCTGAAGGTCGTAGGTTGGAACTGCGATGGGTGGGTAATACCGAAGAGTAGTTCTAAAGTGGGACGGAACAGCTGCTCAGTGTACTCCTTGGTTCACCGGTGGTTCCCCCTAAGTGATGACAGCTAGTAATCAAAACTAGCGAAGAGTTTGTGGATCACAGTGAGTCTTTTGTTTAAATAACTACGCCTAACGACGAACATCAATGAAGTCTAATAATGTGGGACATCAATGGTGAGCAGGAAAGTAACTGATTAACTAGATTTTCTAGCATCCTATCAATAATGAGAATTGTTTTTTAATCCCCTGCACCCTTCATGCGATATAGGACTTCAACCTGTTTATAGTTTCAGTAGCCGTGGGTGTTGTTTTCCTAACGGGATTGCACTGCTAGCCTCACATCCAATCTTCCCTTTTTTCGGGTTTAGAAGTGCCTACACCCATACATCATACTCGGACAACTAACATAGCTGACAAATACTCTATCAGTGAACTGCGGATGGACACTTTCGAACTTACTAACTATGCGACCCTTATATATATATACAAGTTGGTTAAAAGGGACCACGATCTGCATATACTTTCTTAAGGACGAACACCATTTGACGACTTGTCCTTACTGGACAGGTAAAGACTCCTTCCTGAGATACACCGCTTGACATAAATCTTTACAGAGCACTACAATATCTTTTATACTCGAAGGTGAAAAGTCTTCCTGCAGGTGTATCAGATCTACACCGCTACCTTCAGGATATTATCGGTGGCAAAGTTAAGGAAAAATTATGCGATTCAACAAAGCTGTATGATGATGAATGAGATATTAACTGTACACAAAAACCTAACAAGGTGGTAGGAGTCTTAGAGGACCACCCGTTGAGTCCTGTGATTCGAAATGAGACAGATAAGACAGTAGAACAATGTAGGGAACACTGCATTCTAACAGTCACCGATGTCAGAAAAAACCCAGGTCACATGTCATATTGATTTTGAATCATGACTGGCATAATTAAAGGATGCCTCTACAGGGATGCTAACGCAACATTAGCAACTTTGAACACCTATTATTTGTTGAATAATGGTACCTACCATAATAAAACAGCGCTACTACGAACGCTGAACAAGAATTGGCGTGAAAATTTCATTCCGCTATCGTTTTTAAGTACTGTTTGGATAATGGGTTGATTGCTCGTTAAGGTCAAGATTGAGTATTCGACGAAGATTAGTATTAGGGTTAGGATCAGGACTGGGATTAGATTTAGGGTGTTTTATTTTTATTGCCTGTATTTTTCTAGTAAATAAACGGCACCTGTATGTAAAGAACACTGGTTATACTGACTAGTGACCACAAGATCAGTCATGCATTCGCACTTCTTAGGTAGGTTACCTTCAACTTTGCCTCATGATCTTCCAACTCTCTATTATTATTATTATTATTATTATTATTATCATTGTTTCCTTTAATTCCTAGAAGAACATAGACCTTCAGCCGTGCGTCTCCATTCCATTCGGTTCTCTGCTAGAGTCTTCACCTGGCTCCAAGTCTTCCCACACGTTTTCATCTCCTCTTCACATCACCTCCTCCAAGTCACCCTCGCACTGACGACCAACTCGCCGCTTCCCTCTCGGTTTCCACTCAAGGGCTTGTCTAGTGATGTCACTTGGCGCTTTCCTCAGAGTATGGCCAGCCAATCCATCTCCATTTCTTCCTGCCTATTTGTTTCACAATCGGTTCCTGCCGTGTTGGTCCGCTCCCAGAGATCTTTGTTGATGATCCTTTCTGGCCAGCCATCTGATCTTGAGTATTGAGCGAAGACAACTGTTAATGAAGGTCTGTAGTTTGTTTGAGATGCTCTTTATGACGCGTAGTGCAAGTCTCTGATCCGTACAGCGAGTAGCACTGACTTCACATTGGAGTTGTAAATCCGGATCTTGATGATTTTTGATGCTGAGTGCTGTTGACCTCCACACAGACTTGACAGTAGTGAAAGCTTGTCTTGCTTTTCCGATTCTTGCTTTGATATCCTTGTCAGTCCCGTCTGCCTGTAGTTGAAACGATGCTTCCCAGGTAGGTACGTAAAAGAGATTGTTTCTTTCAGGTTCTTCCCATTTATGCTGATCGTTGTCTGTTGTTGTTGTTGTTCTTGTCCAGGAATCTTCATCACCTCTGTTTTCTCTATGTTCACCTGAAGTCCTATCTTCACTGGATGCTTCTTCTGCCAGCTTATTTCTTTTCGCTTGCATATCTTCCAGTTTGTGGGAAATCAGACATGTATCATCGGCGAAGTCCAGATCATCCAAGTTTTTTGTGTGAGTCCATTTTATGCCTGTTTCCTCATTGCCCGCTGTTTGTCGCATTATCCAGTCTACTGCAATCAGGAAAATCATTGGCGATAGTAGGCAGCCAGCTTGTCTTACTCTCGTCGTCACTTCGAAGGGTTCCGTAAGTTTCCCGTTGTGGATTACTTGGCATGCAGCATTGTCATACAGCTGTTGGATGAGATGTATAATTGTCGGTGGCACCCCGTAGTAGCGAAGTAGTTGCCAAATCACCTCTCGATTGACGCTGTCGAAGGCCTTTTCAAAGTCGATGAAGTTGAGATAGAGACCAACCCTCAATTAGGTCCATCAAATCCACCAACCTTATGCAAGAGAACTGCATTTTCGGGCAAATAAATGTGCTGTAACGGTAGACGACAAAAGATATCTCTATATAGCCAAATTATGTACAGCTTATCTTCAGATCACCATTTGCACAGATCTTCCGTGCTGTTTCACCTCTGGCTTTCATATTGTGCTTCTTTGTGTTCCTTTCACGTCTCCCATGTATCTCTGTGACGCTGTATCATTTGCTTTCTCTGACATCGAATCTATATCCCTGTTATTTGACGTTTTTACGCAGACGAAAGTTTCTTTATATGCTACTGATAGATCTTATCAGTAGCATATAAAGAAAGTATCACCTGTACTAATTCCCTTCGAAATGTTACTAAAATTACGAATTATTATATTTTTTTCTGAATGTCGAATATAAAATTCACATAAAATAAATTGCAACTAAGAAATTGGGCATATATATGTCTACTGGACATGAGAGGTTAGAACTCAGTTACCTGGAACAGGTCCTTTTACATATCAGGTTATGAGTCACACTCATTGTGTTACAGTTGATAACACTACCCAGTTGCCTAGATTGCAGTAGCCTGAGTAGAATTCAAACCTAGAACCCTCTAGCTGAAAGTCAAACTCATAAAACAATGACTCACAAATCTACACAAGTATTGGTTGTCTGATAGGTGAAGCGATAGGACTTATGACTCACTTGCAAAATGTCCATTTTCTACACAAATCCGCTAAAATACTAATTCTGTAAGAAAACCGAAAAAACACTGAAACACGCGTCTTAAATTCAATGCGTAAACTAACTTTTCAACTGTTTTGACAGCTCCCGACTAGGATCTCTTTCTAAAGCTTCCATACGAGCGAACAGATCAAATAGTGATTGAGGCACAGGTGGATCAGTCGCCAACATTTTCGCCGGATCCAAGTAAAGCGTGGATAAAAATTCACTAAGAGGGAAGGGGACAAAAGAAAACACGAACAATGAAACTGTATAAGTTTACACGGGAGAGAATCACATTTATCCCATATGAAGGCTAGCAATGTTGATTAATTGCCTAATAATACACAATGGGCCGAGTAGAATTCAAACTGGTAGTAGGTTGAACTGAAAAAAAATTTACACTGAAAGTTTTAACCAAATTAAACAATTTAAAACAATCAATCCCCTTTATAAATTTGGATAGTGTTCTTAAAAGACGGAGATTGGCCTTAAAAATGTGATGAATTATGCGTGTAATATACATGTCGTACAATCTGACCAAACCATACATTTACTTGTCAAGTCAATTTATGTGTATGTAAAATAAAGGCAATATTTAAATTTTCACAACTTCTATCCATTACAGTATGAGAGAGGCTTGGTGATGTGTTTATTTAAGAGAAATCAGAGTATTGGTACAACTGATTTTAAAGAGAATGACAGCAAAAAATATTGATGAATACTCTTCTTGAAAATGGATATCCTTTAAAAAATTTTAAACAGACATAGAGGTCAGTTAGTTTTACAACCTACAATCTATTCTGTCTGTCTTTCTGTCTGTTTTCGACATAGAACTTTGCACATATGTGCACCAGTTCAAGTCGCCACACTCCCTCCTTGTAGCACACAAAGAGAGAGAAGAAAGTAGGAGAAATGCATAATATAGACAGTAAACTGAGGTGTGAGACAAAGGAATAGTAATAACGAAGAACAAAACAGTTTCATTGGAAATCATAAGTCACAAGGAGTGGATGCATCTGCGACAGCCACTGAGAACGATTTTGAGCCGTGTCACCAATTGTTTCCAGCCATTGGTTTTTACCGTTCCGAGGACCCCAACCAGGAAGCCAGTCTACACCTCCCTACGTGGCTTAGACTAACTGTTGTAGATTTCATTGACTGGTGCCATGTTTTGGTTTGACCGCCGCTAGCTCTTTTCCAGCCTGACCCTATGTCAGCTAACATTGCCCGTCAAGGAAGGCGATGACTAGACATGCATACGTAACAAATGTCCTAACCATCTCAGTCGATGTAATTTCACAATCTCGTCGACTGAAATCAAAGTTTATAGCCAATCGTGTAAGCAGCTAAAATAGACAGCAGAGAACAGATTGTTCAGCTGAAGATCTGTGCCCCAGTAGGAACCCAAGATAATAATAGTAATGATAATATAAATTTAAATGTGATCAACCCAACACGCAGAGAAATAAATTATGCCAAACATTTCACTTTTTTATAATTGTGTGACTCAGGTTGTTTTAAACACTACTTTTGTTCAAGAGAAATACCAAGCATCGTGTGTTGGGTTGATAGATATAAAATGCACCACACACACACACACACAAACAGACAACTTTGATATACAAGGTGCTGAACCGAGGGTCCAATGATGTCTTGAGGTAAACAATAGTTTGATGCTGCCAACGGAATCTAGAACACCTATTTCGTTCTATTTAGGACTCGTCAATCAGACGTACTTGTATCCCAGTGAATGACAGTGTTCCCGATGAGACTCGAACCCGGTGATCACTGTGTGTCGGTGGCACAGTGGTTAGGACTCTCGCCGACCATGCACATGGTCCGGGGTTCGATCCCCTGCCGACGCACACCCGATATCAATGGTCGGCCTGCAAAATTTGGGCTACCGATATCACATGCTGAAAATTCCATACTTGTATCAAAAATACGGTGTCGAATCAAGCTATAATCAAAAAAATCTTTAATACCGAAGCATCACCCACTGGCCTACTGTGATATAATAGCCGCCACTTATGGAACCGATAGCAAATGTCACTCGTTAATAGCGTCATTTTTAATTTCACACTGACTGATTATTTTTCGAGTACCCAGTTGATGAGTTCCAAATGGGACGAAACGTGGCTGTGGGACATGGACATTCAGAGTGGAATATTTGAGGAGGCTACCTGTCTTTGACCGCAGACGTTCACGTCCTATCTTCCATGTTAAGTGGTATGGTAGGTGAGTAATATTGCGGTTAGGCGTCGAGTGTCAGGTAGGAAGGGAAATTCAATAAATGAGGTTGTGAGGCTATATCAATTGAGAGATGGCTTGGACACGTGCAGTACAGTACATATGCCAAGACACCGCCTTCTCCATCGAGAAATGTTAACTAATATACGGATTAGGTTGCAAAAGAATTACAGGTGGTCGGACCAATACCCAGCATCAATTCACGAAGTCTTTGACCACCGATCTGAGCCTCTAATGTAGGTGTGTGCTGTTTGGTTTGATCACCCCAGAGCCTAAGAATCAATGCCTGCAAGGCTGCTGTTAGTATAACTCAAAATCGTTCTTCATTGTACAGACGCCTTCACTGTTTTCAATCTCCCAGATCCACTAAATCCTCAAGTTCCTCTATGTAATTATTCTTTCTTAGAATTCATAGGCCATTGGATCGGGTACCAGTGGCTTAATGGTCTACGAGCTTGCCTTGTAACGAGGAGCTCCTGGGTCCGAACCCCGGTGGGTGCGTACTGATGAAGAGTCCCAAACTGGGACGAAACAGATGTCCAGTACTCCAGAGTTTTCCAATGGTCCTTTAAATGATGTCAGCAGCTCATGATGAAATCATCCAAACAATTCTTCTTTCTCTCGTACATTTCAGTTCATTGTAGATCCTTTGAATCGCTTTTCTCTGTCACTGTGTACTATATTACATGGAGTATAGCTGCTTGAACTGCTTCACTCGTGTTCAAAGTTGTACGTTGAACACTACTCACAGTTAGGCAGTCATAGTCACACTGTACAATCGATAATCGACATCATTTTATCAGTAAGTCTTGACTTAAACATAAAGAAAAAAGCCTCAAGGAATACAATTATTGATTTTGGATAAACCATTAAGAAAACAAAAAAAGAGTTAACTCACTCTAATTCAATCTCCTTTGATTCAACTTCACCGGTTAAACTACGCAGAAGTGATGCCTTCATTTCACTAAAAAAAATGAGCACAAAAGTAAGTTTTAAATAAAAAATATACAGTGCAAAACCAGATATGATCAAAAATAGTGATATGATGATAGGCGTTTAGATTTGATGCATTTTCTCTTGCCATTTTTGTTGACTTGTATTCGTTTACATTTCATTCATTTGCGAAATACGCATTCGCATCCCACTCGAGAGTCTGACGCGAGATGTCAGTCAGTCAACAGCTTCCCTCAGAGTGTGCCCGATGCATCTTCATTTTTTTATGCATTTGGTTGACCAATATGTTCTTGAATTGTTTGTTTCCAGAGTTTCTTGTTAATGTAAGTGTAGAACTTAGGCACTATGGTAGGATGCAATTCTATTTATTCAATATGCTTATTTTAAATATCATACAGTGATGCAGTGTATTAACAAATGGATGACGTTTCGAGCATCAATTTGATATGATTATGTGAATGGCAATAACTCGTACTCGAAATATAATTCAGTTGCTAATACTGCATCACTAGTGTAAAATTATCTAATACAGGGTTTCTTGTTGTTTATCCTTTAAGACTGACTATATGGCCTTCAGTATGGAGAGAATGTACTTGCTAGTAACAGTTTGAAGCTTGTTCCCAATGCGTTTCGTCATGCACCAGGTTTCTAAGCCACATAGAAAATATTGGCTTAACACTGGTGTTGAAATTCATAATATGAACTGTGATCAAGATTTAACCGGATAGTTCCATTATGGGTAAATTTTATTTTAATAAAGTCTCACAGTGTTATACAGTAATATTTACTGATGACGTTTCCAGCACAATTTATTGCTATTAATCATATCAAGGTGCCCAAGTTTCATTCTTATATTAACCGGATAGTTCTTAAATAATTAGGCACCGAATGAGAAGTAGACACAAATAAAAACCATACTTGTAAAATCTCAGAAAAAAATTGAAATGAGTAATTCCAAAGTTTCGTTCGGTAAAATGATCCAAACCTCTTCAGGGAAATTAATCAAAATTATATATATATATATACAAAGGACGTCCCTTGTTTTTAAAAACTTTGTCCAGTCATATGATTCATGGAACAGGCATCAAAAAATAATAAACAAAATTGCCCGTTTTATAAATTTGGATAGCGTTATGAGAAGACGGAGATTATCTGAAAAATGTGATGTATTTGCGCTATACATTTAGTTATTTTGAAACCTGACAAAGGATCTGGTGCAGTTGTAATGGACAGAAGCGATTACAAAACAAAAATGTTATCCATTCTTAATGACAAAAGCAAATTCATAGCCGATGTTCCTTCTGATGATATCAGAAAATTGGAAGGAAAAATAAATTCTCACTTAGTAAAACTTCCAAACCTCTATGGATTACCCAAGATTCATAAGGTTGATAATCCATTACGTCCAATTCTATCAATGTGTCACTCTCCTACACATAAATTAGCAAAATGGTTAACTGATATTTTAAGTCCAGTACGCAATGAATTATGTAAGTTTACTTTGAAAGATACATTTGAACTTGTTGACTGTCTTGTAGATATGAACATAAAAGATAGGAAAATGTATTCATTTGATGTTAATTCTTTGTTTACTAATGTACCATTGGTTAAGACTGTTGATATTCTTTGTGACTATATATCTTCTAGTTGTTTTTCATTTCCTTTTCCTTTAACTTATTTGAAAGATTTATTACTATTATGTACTGACAACGTCCATTTCACGTTTGAAGGTGAACATTTTCGACAAGTGGATGGCGTTGCTATGGGGAGTCCATTAGGACCTTTGTTAGCGGACGTTTACATGTCTTATGTTGAGAACTTGTCCCTTGATTTAATTTCTAAATTGCCCTTCTATAGGAGATATGTAGATGATATCATTTTGATATGCGACGATCATGAAGATGCGAGTCGTCTATTAGACAGACTTAACTCTGTACAGAATCATATTAGTCTTACATGCGAGGAAGAAAGTCGCAACCAGCTTGCATTTTTAGACATACTTCTGAGTCGAAGAGATGATGGTTCAATAAGACGATCAATCTACAGAAAGCCCACTTGGACAGGGCAGTACCTTAATTTTCACAGTTTCTGTCCATTACAGTATAAGAGAGGCTTGGTGAAATGTCTATTTAAGAGGATTCAACGTATTTGTACGGCTGATGTTATAGACAAAGAAAACGAAATATTGATGGATACTCTTGTTGAAAACGGATATCCTTTAAAATTTTTAAACAGGTGTAGAAGTCAATTAGTCTCTAAACCTACAATCCATACCGCCCCTAAGAAAAAGGTTTTCATCAAATTACCATATAACGGGGAAATAAACAGTAGGATTTTGAGACAAAGGTTGAATTCGATCATCCGTAGAACCTATTATGCAGCCCAGCTTGTAATTGTCGAAAAAGCTAAAAATATGCTCCACTGCAAACCTCAAAAGTGCACAAGTGATTATGTCACATCCCACACTATTTACCAATTTTCGTGTGTGTGTGTGTGTGTCACACATACATAGGGAGGAGTAATCGCGCTTTGCATGTGAGGGTGGGAGAGCATATCCCAAAATGGTTAGAAAAACAAATGAATTGTGAAAAACCAATAGATGCAGGTGTCAGACTACCAACTTCGTCTATAGCTAAACACCTAATCGAGATGAACCATAAGATTGATGTTAACTCAGCCTTTAAGGTCATCTATAAAAACGGTCAAGGGCGCTTATTGAAATACGCCGAGGCTATAGCTATTCATAAACTTAAGCCCCCCCCCCTGTGTATTCAAAAACAGTTTATTATTACTCTTAACCTACCTTGGTAATCCTTATTTGATTGGATTACCAAACGTTGTGTTAATCATTCTTAAATCCTTTTTTGTCACTTTGTTTAATTTAACATTTTCATATATATATCGACTTGACAAGTAAATGTGTGATCAGATTGTTCGAAATGTATAGCGCAAATACATCACATTTTTCAGATAATCTCCGTCTTCTTATAACACTATCCAAACAAAATTGCATGAACTGTGATGAAAATTGTGACCTCCGACTTACATACATGCTATACTATGTGTACAAAAAAATAATAGACTTCAACCTTCGCCTACCATGGACTACTTGACCTAATTAAATGATCGGTCATCAGTATGTGTACTTTTGTTTTACATAACTGAGTAATTGTCATGCATTTTTTACTTTAGTATTGTGAACCATGCTAGTTGTGGAGTGGTTGTAGAGCAATTACGAAATGCTATCATCTCGCAAAATTTGTCTTCTAAATGCCTTATTCAAATATTAGTCTACTTTTATTAAACACTGCGAGCAGTGTGTACTTTTTCATCAGAGATTTTAGTGATTACGTTAGACAAAAGTTCATGGTCGTAGATAACTGAATATAAAAAATACATGTGTATATGCGGTATACAATGGTGCGTGTGTGTGTGTGTGTGCCTGTGTGTATGAGGAAACAATTATAAATCATTTGTCAGCCTCTCTATAAAAAGATATAGACAATCGGGAATCCGGATCAAGTGTGACTGATTAATGGTACATATCAGGACTTGCCATGCATCAGCTAACACCTCACGTCTGTTCAAACTGTTGGGATTCACCCATATATGTAGGGCTTCTACAGTCTTTCTTCATACTAATCAAAACCTTTCTGCGGAACCTTAGTTCTATCAAAGTCGACATTGTGTCCCGTTTCTATCGAGTACAGTGCAATTGCCTACCCATTTTCCAGCTTCTTCAAGTTTGAAGAGGTCTTTGGAACCACTTCTACACAGTTTTTATGCACCTTCACTCTTATATTTACCTGTCTGGAAGTTTCTCCTACATATACAGCATTATAATCCCCACAACTGATCTAGTACATACAGTTCTGTTGGTCGTCTTCTACTTTATCCTTAGCCTTCACCTGTGATGAGCGTAAGGGGTCCATTGCACGAAAATACACTCTTATGTCATGATTGTTAAGGATTCGCCTTATTTCATCCGATGTTTCTTTATGGTGAGGAAACACCACTGTACTAACCCGTCTTAGCAACAAGTTTTGATTCATCCTTATCTTCACATTTTAAATATCTTTTCATAAAAGCTTTTTTTGTTATAGCTTGAAACCACACATTATTTTTAGTACAAGTATGGAATTTTCAGCATGTGATATCGGTAGCCCAAATTTTGCAGGCCGACCATAGATATCGGGTGTGCGTCGGCAGGGGATCGAACCTCGGACCATGTGCATGGTCGGCGAGAGTCATAACCGTTGTGCCACTGACGCACAATAATAGCTGACATATGGAATTTCGGGAGGAGAATTCACTCAAACCATTCAGGGGGAATTATTTGATTCAAAAGTGGACTGAACCAACTTTAGTTCCCTGCTGGTCTTTTCCTTTTCAGCAACTAGACGTGCGGCTCTGTTAATCACATTCTTGGCTACAGTTACTTTTGTGTATGAATGTATCCGCTTTCTGAAAAGTGTTTATTTCAAGTTTACCATCTGGTTGTCTTTTTACCAAATGGTCCAGGAACGGAAAATCATTTTCGTCGGATTCAACCTCATATGATTGGACAAAGTTTTTCAAAAACAGGAGATGTCTTTTTTATATCAAAAACTTTTGTTACTTTAATATCGATTAATTTCCCTGAAGAAGTTCGGACCAGTTTGGCGAACGAAACGTTGCAATTACTCATTTCAATCTCGCTGAGATTTTACAAATATAATTTTTTCATATTGGTGTTGAAAATCTGAAATTTGCTCTTTGTGCTGAGTGCAACAGATTTCCAAACTGATTTCAGAATAATGAAGATCCATCTTGCCTTTCAGATTCTGGTTTTGATATCTTTATCCGTGCCGTAACCTGTTGTCGAAACAATGTTGCCTGGATAAGTGACGCGTGCTCGAACCTCAGAAGGGATGTGAGTTCCTTCAAGGTTGCAGATAAGCCTCGCTGATGAGTGCCAACTAGGACGAAACTCAGGTCGAAGGCTTCCAGCCAATTGCCTCCAACCATCTAACACCAATAATTCACAATGCACCGTGATGACGAGTCACCTAGCACATGGTGGCCGCATTGCAAACTTGACTGATAGAATTCAGTTTGCACCAAAGATAGGACTAGACACATCACACTAGTTACTGACTAGTGTTCAATCAAAAACAATTAGTGTGTTATTGTTGGTTGGTTATTTTCATCACCTCCACCTTTTCTGTGTTTACGTGAAATCTTGTCTTTACTACTTCTTCTCTCAAGCTTCTTGGTTTTTGTCTGTAAACCTTCGAATTTGTGACATTAGATATAAATCATCCACGAAGTTCAGATCTGCTATAGAGCCTTCTTATCGGTGGTCCAGAGTGTTTCTGCTTTTTTGCTTACTATGTACGGTCTGTTGCATAATTCAGTCCACCAAAATTAGGAATATCATCCGTGATGTAGTATTCAGCCGTGTCTTACTCCATTGTCTGCACTTCAAAGGCTTCCCTTAGTTTTCCACTGTGGATCACCCCATACGTCAGCATCATCATCAAATAGCTGTTGAATGAGGTTTATAAAGGTTTGGAGCATTGCACTCCACTGCCACCGACAGCGAAGTTAGCCTCCCAAACCTCGCAGTGCATAGGGCGGATCGACTAAGCTGCAAAGGAGGTGGTGTATCACTTACCACAAGAAGTGCCTAACCGTGTACAGCATTGAAACTCACACGGCAGTTGAACATGCGAACTTCTACGCTGCAGACTAAAATGCACAGGGCAAGATATTGACCTCATTGCTACATACTGCAGTCCCGACTGCAACGCAGACGACTTTTTAATAGAGAACATCGGAGTTCCGTAGTTGGTGACTTTAACGCTCCAACAGTTGACTGGACGAGCCGTATAACTTCATCCTAAAACAACTCCTTTGACTATAAACTGTTAGAATCTACTATTTCACCAGCCCTAATCCAACATGTCAGGAAGCCTCACAAAAGAGTACTCACGAAGTTGGGAAGCCTTGGAATCAAAGGTAGCTTAGTAAACTTGATTGGAGAATTCCTCATAAGTAGGAGAGACATCAGAATCAACTCTGAACTCTCCTCCTGGGCAACAGTACGTAGTGGTGTGCCACAGGGAATCATACTCGGCCATCTCTTATTCATCTTGTATAACAATGAGCTATTTGTGCTTACGGACTGACTCTCCTATGATCCCACACACGGACTATTTAAAAAATGTGGAGGGAGCTGAAGGGCGATAATGATATGCTCACGTTACAAGGAGACTTCAACAAGTCGGCGGAATGATCCAAAGAATGGATGCTCTCGATCAACGTAGTGAAATGCGTGACCATGCGTATTGGATATATAGGCATCATCTCATACAAACTAGAAGGAATAACACTCACATCAGTTCACACTCAAATGGACCTAGGTGTCATAGTGTGGTGGTGTGATACAGACGATGGGTTCCAACGGAATATTATTCTCACAGTAAGAATCATTGTATTTTTTGGTGTTAACGTCTGAATACTGTTCCCGCAGTTCAGTACTGTATTAGCGACAGAATAATATATATGTATCTGAACATTCTAATTCATGTCGTTTAATGTAAACCCAAATCACACGCTCGGTGATTGGTTGAAGAATACTAACTGTGTACATGTAAACAGCTGTTTGATCGCTTGAAAATATACCTTGGTCTCCGTGTCTTGCCTTCTGCGGTTACGATAATAAGTCAAACTTAAAAACTATAGCACACTGTCGTGCGGTGGCAGCTCGTAGTTTCAGATCCTTACGAACAATACTCAAAGCATTTACTAGAATCACCACAGATATGTTCACCACTTTATATACATATGTGGTGAGATGAAAACTGGAAAACTGCATCCAGGCAGTCAGTCCCTGACTTAAAGAGGACTGACACATTCCAGAAAGGATTCAAAGAAAAGCAACACGTATGATCCTTGGCATGACCAATTTATTATACAGGACTAGTCAGTTTCTCTTCTCTTTCTCACACCGTAAGCAGAGAAGAGAACTCATTACAATGTCTACAATTTTAAATAGTGACTACGGACCTGATCTATTTTCTTCTTTCCTTCCCATCAAGTAGGAACATTTCAGGGGACACAGCAGGAGATTTCAAAAGCCTAGACGAAACTATATCTCTGTGGAGCACTGGTTCTTACACCGGGTTATCAACTGCTGAAAACCGACTCCCAAGAAAAAGTAGCGTCAGTGCCTTCAATTGACTGTCATTCACGAAGGGTCTCGACAAGCAGAGAAATTTACTAGAAAAGGATTAACATAAGCCTCAAGCCTATTTATGTTTAAACAAGTACAAGATGATATTCGTGACTTTGACCTATTAATATCACCCAGCCAACAAAGTCAAGACCCATGTAATCAGTTTGAATGCCCGGCGTGATAATCGAAATGCAAAAAACAACACGACTACTAAGTCAGTTTATAGACAAGATTCATTGCAGGTGATCGCAATTTACCTTGTAGACAGTGCATAAATCGAATTAATAAAAGTTCGAATCAACGGTATAAATAAATAAACGCATTACTCTTTTTTGGATTGCTTGTGTTCCAAGTGAAACTTGGGGCTTTTTTACACAGTGGGGTCACTGTTATCGGCCCTCTTTTTCTCGAGCTTACTATCTACTTATAAACAAGGCGAGATTTAGGAATCCATCAGCAAAGGAATCAAACTCAGACATCCCCCACGTGGCTGGTGAACATTCTCTAACTGGATGAATTAATTAAAGTGCTTACCTGTAAATTGAAGCTGATTCCAAGACATCCATTGGTATTAGCCGATGAAAAATATCCCGACCTCTAACCTCAGGATCATTATGATCGAATGGGACACCTTTTACAATGCAGACACCTGAAAAATGACATAATAGAAAAACATACATAAATCGAATTCACAATTTGCAGTGTACACAGTTCGGTGGGTGAAAGCAAACTAGCAAGCACTACTACTTGGTTGCTATGATTGGTATTCAAATGCTCATCTCAATCAATAAGCAATATATAGCTATTTGCAAAAACATACATTATGTATTATTCTCAATGAAAACAACAAAATAGGAAAATTCAAGGAAAATACCCATCCAGACATGAATATAAGAACAACAAAGTTCAGCAAAAAGTCTCTTTCCAGTGAATTCATTCACTTAGCTGCACAATCGTATTTATATACAATTACTTTGCGTATGTGTGTACATTAGGATTGTCAAACAATTTACTTGCTCATGTACAGCAAGGTTTATAGGTCGTTCGATGCGTGTTTTAGCCAAAAGAGTCAAAGAACATTATCCCGCTTGGCTACAAAAAGGTAACAGTGGATCAACAAAGAGTGCTATGATTAAATGACTCGTCCTATTCTGATTAAGGCACCTTTTTTAAGTATGCTGATCTGTTACTGCTCAGTCAAACTGTTCCAAAATGAATACCATTTTATCAGAAATTAGTCAGTGGCCCTTGTCAAATGGTCTTAAGCTAAATCCCTTCATATGTCAGGTTGTTAAGTTCACTTTCAAACACTAGCGCAACTTACATGAACTTATTTATTCATATGGTTCCACTATTATAAATGACATAGGGATTGGAATTGAATCAAATGTGAAGTACCTTGGACTGTGTATTTTCTGGTCTTCCCACATCACGTTAGTTTCCAGAAAGATATTTCGTTTAACGTTCTATGTAAGAAGGTTAAGACGATCTGGTATCACTCAGTTTCTATCTTCTAAGTTTGTTAATTCTTGTATTCTGCCTATCTTTCTTTACTGCTCCTACTTAATCTTTCCCGAGGTACTTAGGAAAGGCCTTTTTATACTGCGAAAGGCACTAAAAGCCGTCAGTAGGGTGAGTGGGTTGTCGCTAAACCAACTTGTGAATACTATTGTAGATAGACACAAGGACTCCTGCAAGAAATTAACAAATATTATCTTGTCAAACTGTGAGCATCGTCTCTATACACAACTCTCTCCTTGCACCTCGTGTAAGGTAGAACAAAAAAGAAACAACTATAGAAGATTATATGCTCGGACGACTAAGTACAAAAGACTCTACAATACCTTATTTAGCACATATTTTATGTGATGAGAAAAGTGTAGGGCAGGACACCACTACCAACTTACTGCAGAACTATGAGTAGACAGCAGTATTTTTTCCATTATATTGTCGCCAATACTTTCACTTAATTTAATATTCATTTTCTTATTTAACAATATTAACAATGTAAATGCCCTGTTTTATTTATTACCTCTGCAGTGAGAAAGTTAGGTGCAATACTGTACTACGCATGCTGAAAATTCCACATTTGTACCAAAAATACTGTTTGGGATGTAGCCATCATTATTATTATTATGTCCCAGGCTATAAGTCACACTTATTGTGTGTGAAGGCTAATGATACTACCCATTTCTTCAGGTTGAAGTAAGCGGAGCACGCCTCGAACTCAGGACCTAATGACCGGAAGTTGAGTGTTAAAGACCATTATTATTATTATTATTTCCTTTAATTCCCAGAAGAACATAGGGCTTCAGCCGTGAGTCTCCATTGCGTTCGGTTCTCTGCTAGAGTCTTCACCTGGCTCCAAATCTGCCCACACGTTTTCATCTCCTCTTCACATGACCTCCTCCAAGTCACCCTTCCACTGACGACCAACTCGCTGCTTGCCTTTCGCGTTCCACTCGAGCAATGGCTTGTCTAGTGATGTCACTAGATGGTTACCTCAGAGTATGACCAATTTATCTCCACTTCTTCCTGCATATTTGTTTCACAATCGGTTCCTGCTGAGTTGGTTGGCTCATTGCCAGAGATCCCTCACTGATGCTGATCTTTTCTGACCGGCCATCTGATCTTGAGTATTGAGCGAAGACAACCGCTGATGAAGGTCTGTAGTTTGTTTGAGATGCTCTTTATGACGCGCAGTGCAAGTCTCTCATCCGTATAGTAGCACTGACTTCACATTGGAGTTGAAAATCCGGATCTTATTTTTGATGGTGAGTGCTGTTGACCTCCACACAGACTTGAGAGTAGTGAAAGCTTGTCTTGCTTTCCCGATTCTTGCTTTGATATTCTCGTCAGTTCCGTTCGTCTGTAGTTGAAACGATGCTTCCCAGGTAGGTAGGTAAAGGAGGTTGTTTCTTTCAGGTTCCTTCCATTTATGCTGATTGTTGTTGTTGCTGTTGGTGGTGTTACCCAGGAATCTTCATCACCTCTGTTTTCTCTATGTTCGCCTGAAGTCCTATCTTTGATGCTTCTTCTGCCAACTTGTTGCTTTTCGCTTGCATATCTTCCAGTTTGTGGAAAATCAGACATATATCATCGGTGAAGTCCAGATCCTCCAAGTATTTTGTGTGAGTCCATTTTATGCCTGTTTCCTCATTGCCCGCTGTTTGTTGCATTATCCAATCTACTGCAATCAGGAAAATCATTGGCGATAGTAGGCAGTCTTGTCTTACTCCTGTCCTCACTTCGAAGGACCGTTAAAGACCAGTTCATTGGTAACTGCATGGAAAAGTGACTGCCGAATAACTTTTCAATAATCACCATAGATAAAGATAACAACAATAGATGATAAGCAAATTGTTATGCATATTGCATACCTTTAATCTGTTCAAGTAATTCAATCTTCGGTACTGATTCATGATAGACAAAATCATTGTCCCTTGTAGCACTTGTCAATCTAATAAGTATAAGTGTGAATAAAAAGAAATAAAATACAGTAAAACAACCATCTTCATTGTAAGAAGTGTACACATTAGATAGATGTGATCGCATTAAAAATGTTCATTATATAATGTCTACACCTGGTGTAAAATACAAGATTGAATAGATGAGTTAATGTGTATGCTTAGAACAAAAGTACTGGGTTCAAGTCTCCGTAAAAACACCACTATTCACATGGGAATGCAAGTACATCCAGCTGAAGACTCCTAGACAGAACGAAATGCGCAACGTTGATCCCACTGCTAGTAGTTATCACCCACGAAATTTCAAGTGCATGGTCGAAAAAATACACAGGAATATTTGCATTCCACAAAACAGGAAACAAATCAAACGTCATGATGACTTGTTTGTAGACAAAGGATAAGCTATTACTCTTAACAATCATAGTTACTTTTTAGATCAAAGTGAACCTGACTGACTGAGTAGTAGATTAACACGAAGGACGTGGGGATAAAACTGCAGAAGTTTAGGTCGCCACACTTAGAAAAAAAGAAATATGATGAAACCATAATGGACAAAAATATACCAGAGACAGAGATAGAGACCAATCACAACAGTGAGGACTTTCAGAATCTAGAAGATTACAAGGAGTGAGTACCGTTTCTCCATTGTAAATAATTCTGATCTAGGTTATATTGAGTCTGACAATTTTTTTTTCCTTCACGTTCCTCAGTGGAACATTGGGCTTCAAGCTAGTAGCTTGCAGTTTCTGTAGCAGTGTTTATTTTACAGAATGGGGTTGCTAGCCTCATGCCCAACCTTCCCTCTTCACCAGCATTATTTCTGGCTTAGCGAGGTAAAGGAGTGCGTCGGCGAGCGTCCTAACCGCTATGCCACCGACGCCGACGTCTAACAATTAATAACCGGTATTTTGAAGAAACCAATCAAGCAAACATAGATGGGCGCCATATAGTACCAAGTGACTGACATGAGGAATGAGAGACCACTCAATTCAACCAATAGTACTTGCTAGCCAGATTGAGGTGATCTAATCACTGGGCTGTAATTTCGCTCATTTGAGGCCGAGATCTTCAACAGTGTACCCAGTTTGACTGAGCTTGGAGAGCCGAATTCGGTCGACTGTATAACCAGATCACCTAAGTAAGTGGCTAGCCGAAATTTGATTGGTTTGAACTGATTCGGCTCTCAAACGTAAGTCACACAGGGTACACCAGTGATAGGCTCGTCCCTAAATGGGCAGAATGACCATTCGGGGTTTGAAACCACTTCAACGACCTGGCTAGCAAGCACAACTGGTTAAAGTGAATGGTGTGCAGCTACTCATATCGGCCAATCAAATAATGATCTTTGCTATGGTTCCACAATCTTTAACTGTTTCCAACCCAATCTGACTTTGGCTAACAGTGCATGTCCTGGAAGATGATGAGTTGGAATGAATAACACCTTTTCTAATTCAGTTAACTAATGGAGCTATACATCTTTATTGGCTGATGTTCCCCCTTCATCTAGCACTGAATGCCTAACTTTTTTTACTTCATATCATATTACACCATTTCATGTGAGCCATTAGAGGAAAATATCTGGTTTTTTTATATCAATTACTATTGGACTCTTTTTCCAGCTGAACAGCTGGATAAAACAAACTACTATACACCCAGTTATAAAAAAAATGACACAAGTTTGCCAAAGAACTCTTTGTATAGCTGAGAAAACTTTCCTAACAAGCAATCATATGAGCAGAGTGAACAACATATCCACTTCACTACCTATCCTTGAACTAGAATTCGCCTTAGAGAAGTCATTTCACAATGCCTGAAGTTTAACAGTGTGTTCAGCGGACTGTTTATTTTGTCAACGTCATCCGTATACTCTAGATCTACGAATCAACCTAGTAGCAAGTCAATCCCTGAAATAGCTAGGTCAGCTAAAGTTACGCCCGTTACAATAAATCTACAAAAAATATCATATAAGAATGGCAACATTGGGTGTCCTTAAAAGTTAACATTGGTTTTTGTCATCAGTTTTTATTTGAAATCAGTGACGCCCGTCCTAAAGGACCGAATTAGTGTGTAAACCTGTTTTTCTACCTAAAACCAAGGGAATGCAACTCCTAGCAACATTTAGCTACCTTATGTATGAGACTTAATGTCCCATTTGTCTCTATATTGTTGTCATGTTCTTTTTGTGTGGCACATGGCACAAACAAAACCGTCAGATATGACTCAAAACTTCCTTTGCATAGGAAAAAGCAACCTGGTGAAAATTTTTTCTGTACCTACTTTTTACGAATTATTTCACCGGCGTATGTAGCACTAGCACGAAAACTGCCACTTGAAACCAGCATTGATAAATTCTCAGAATCTTTGAAATTTTTTGCCACAGATTCACAATCTTCGATACGTTTACCAGCAAGTTGAAACCAAGCTATAGCCTTGCCATATGATTTATTCTCTTCTTCATTTATACCAGCATAATAAGCCATAAGAGCTGAATAAAAACTAGTTTTCATTTGACATCGACGACGCCATTCCTATGCATCATAAAAATGAATAAAGGAAAGTTACAGAAAGTATATATATATATATATATATATATATATATAAGCGCATGAGGTAGCAAAAAGCCTGACTCTAGGAAGTCTAATCGATATCTGTTGACTAATAACTACAAACCAAGTGACTAAAATAATTGAGTTACACGGAATGACCTCACCAAGGTAGAATATATATAGTTTCTAAATCAGATAACTAGTAATAAGACCACCCGTCAACCCTCGAATCAATATTTTTGATATAATTAAACGATACTACTGATCAACAGTTATGAATGAATGTGAACCATGATAGAACTAAGGGCACATCTTATTTGCATCTTATTTGGGAATCATCAGCTCAACTTACCCGATTATGTTGAAATTTCTAGTGACATTCGAACACAGAGAGTCTCTTCGAATGCCAAAGCACCAAAGACTGCATGACTTTGCTCTTGAAGTTTTATATCCCACATGCTGCAGATTATGACTAAATTAATTTAACAGTCTGTAAGGGTAATTGAACTTCTAATAGGGAGTCTTTAATACCGCTTTAATAAGACTCTAGCTGCCACAATTAAGTACTACAAAATATTCGACCAAAATAAAATATAAAGTTCACTAAGTTGGTTTAATACAACAATTATGAATAGATTGCATGTGCGTATATCACCTTAAGATCACTGGTCGTATTACAAAAATGACTTCATAAAAGGATTTAATAATCAAAGTTATCAAGTCTTATGAATATACAAATAGAAAGCCAGTATGCATATAAAGAAATGGAAGCATAGAAAAAAACGGGAAAGAGACAGAGAATATATGTGTGGGGAAATTTATAAAATGACCATCCTTTAGAATATTAGGAGAAATAAATACATTTGGGTCGTTGTGATCCATTCGGAAGGATGACACGAGTGATTTGTCAGTTCCAAACTGAATTAAAATAAGCTGTTTGAATAATTTAATTTTCCCAAAAGAATAACACTTAATCAGACAGCTAGTCCAAACGATTTCCGACTTCCAGTTTGATAGGCACCGAGTCCGAAGACAAATGATAAAAGGTAGAACTTAGTTACCATGAGACAATATTATGTGAGGGTTGACGATTCTAACCAGGTGCTAAGGCTGAAATAGGTGAGGTGACATTCAAAACTCAGAATAACAGACTGGAATTCAAATGCTAAAGCCAACAAGCCATGTCTACTATCCCGATAACAGAAAAACAATTGGTTACAGGATTTCATCATGAGCTGACATTGGTTAGAGAACCATTGGAAAAAACCTGAAAGCACTTGACAGCTGTTTCGTCCTAGTTCGGGACTCTTCATCAGTACGCACCCATAGGGGTTCGAACCCAGGACCATCTGGTTACAAGGCGAGCTCGTATACCATTCAGCCACTAGGACCCGATCCAAAAAACATTTCTTGCGAATTGTCCTGCTTATCGTCTATTTGTTGTAACCACAAAACAATTCACTACATTATGAAGGGAAATTATAGACAGAATGAATGCATTTTTAGAGAACATAATGGCTTTATTTGAACTAATATTTTGAGAAGAAAAAGTATAATTAACATAACCAAAATATCTACGATTCAATAAAGCATACCTTGCAAAACTTCGGAAGTAATATTTCATCACTTGACTCGAAGGATAGGAGTTGAACACCAACATTTTCATAGACATCCATTATGTATTGAGATAACTTAGCATTCACATTAGCCGGTCGGCAATCCAGTATGGACTTTTCTACAACACACTCCTGTGCTTGTGCCTGAATTAAATTTGGAAAACAAGCTGTTTTAAACCAGTTTTAGAAAATTTAATTTACTTGATTTCAACTAGCTCGATCATTTTTAAACGATTATTAATCTTTAGACGAATATTTTGGTAAAATGATATGTTTCTGTGCCAACCTAATAATTGTAACTATTATTGTCACTGGTATCAACATAACCAATCAAAACACCAAGTAATGCACGAGATGGGTTGGATACAACTAAGTGTGCACTAACTGAATGCAAGATGCTGCTCCTTAGCACAGTTTCAGATAAAAAATGACTGTCATTTTGTCAACGCGACCGTTGATTTCATACTGCCTTAATGATGTAGCTTCTTGAGAGTATAATAATGCAGTTATGTAAATTAACCCCATGAACCCAAATTATCCGTGAGAGCAACTACAACTCGTAATCAGTTTAAAAATTAAAAACTGAAGAGGAAACTTACTAGCATAATGGATGCAAAAGCCAACATGAGATCGCTGTTTAAATCAGGTGCACCTGGTAAGGGTAAATGACGCTCAACCAGTGTATTTAAAGCCCATGAAGCGCACTGAAAGTGAGTACAAGCTACTTTCATACTCTGGAACAAACAAACATGAATAAGAAATTGGGTTACTGCTAAGCACCGAACGCAATAAGATATCGATTTTTAAAAACAACTCGATTTCAGATTAGTGAAGGAAGTTTTATTATTTGAATAGTTTGTCTTGAAATATTACTTTAGTTAATTAGACCTGACATACGGAAGTGCATCTTACCCATATAAAAAGTGAGGATAAACCCAAGAGAAAATTAAACTGAAGAGTGAATGCGTCACCCATAAACCATGGACGTCTATGGACAAGGGTGTAAGAGGTGTCTACTGAATTGGACTTCAGGATAACACGTTGCATATGAACGAGATGATATGACTAAAAGTCGCAGATATGAGCAGACCTAAACATAAATTCTGAAAGTTGCTCCCCTATGTTAAATTATTTCTACATTTCCTCCCTCCCTGTTGTCTGTGAAGACTATAATTTACGCGAGGCAGTTCACCGGGAGTAATAATTATATAATATATATATAATATTATCTAACCATAACCTTGTCATACATTCAGAATATACAATGTGGAATGATCTAATAAAGTTTGTTATTTACACACGTAATGATCAGGGTAGCAAAATGTCTTTTTATGTTTCGAAGAGACACTAGCACTTATAAAACCTTTCTTATTGCTGAGGTGTAAAATTGACCTTGTCTGTACAAGGTTAGATCGAGGATATCAACCAAGGAAACTAAGTAGCAAAGTGATGTTCAGTCCGGCGCCTTATACATAAAAGGGCGTGTATAGTGATTCTATTAATGACAAGACAATTAAATGCGAGACGATCTTTATGCACTATAGTAAAAGGCAAAACGTAACTTACATCTGCGTCCGCACGCTTTTCTTTGACACCAAGAATAGAATGTAGTGCTGCAATGTTATACATTACAGAAGCTTCCTCAAACCGAACATCAGAAGACTCAGAGTAACTGTTTGAGAAAGCATCCTGCCTATTTTAACAGTAAATAATCTATAGTCGATTACCATTTCCATGTTATGTCTGTACATTGTTCCGCTGTAAAATGAAATCTGCCTTTCAGTAATTGCAGTTGAGCATAGTAACGCTTTAGCTGGGACAAACCCGTGTAATCAATAGAAGGTTCACAAGCAGACTAATGCAATGACAAAAAATTATTAAACTCCATTATACTTTACGTAGGCTAATAAATTCGTTGAATTCCTTCTCATAAGTGCTGGAAGATTGCTGATATTGTACTTCTATGTACTAGACAACATTTAAGCATTGAATAATTAATCATACCCTTTTAAGTGGCTGTAATTCAGGAACGAATTCTGATTTCTTTAAACATAAACTGACAGAAGGAATCCGAGGAAGACCATCCATCGCTGACCTTGTAAAATCGAAAGTTCCACCACAAGTGACCCGCCTTTCAAAATCAAGTGAGAAATTCATAAACTCGAAATTGATTTCTGTAGAGTCCCCTGAGACCTACTTTTGTTGTTTTTGGAGACTGTTATTCAGCTATTGGCCATGCCACCACTTATGGAACTCCATATGGTGTCATTTCACCACAGGCCACACCAAGCTTTTACTGGGTGGCATCTACTAATCACCCATCTGTAAGGCAAAGCACAACCAGCTACTGCTCAGTACCATCACAGGGATACGGGACTTGGGCTATGACCAAATCATTATAGCTGGAGATTTAAATGCCCCATCAGTGAACCTTGGCTTCGGGTATTCTAAGGGAAAATTAGGTCGAAATCTACTGCAAACCACTCGAAATACAGGGCTGACTGTGAAAGCTGGAGATGACACTAGGTGGAGCCCCAGTGGAATGTCATTGAAACTAGACTACTTTATAACTAGTAACCAACTACTCGTCAAAAAGGTCCAGATCATGAGTCCTGCGTGAGCATTTGCAATGGGACGTTATACAACCATGTCTGTGTTACAGCAGGGCTGACTATGCTGAAATGCGGAGGCTCTTGTCCGACGCAGACTGGCCCTTAGCATGGGATGAGCTACCTGTGGATGAACACTGGGAAGCGGTAAAAGAGACTATTCATACAGCAATCTCGGATACCATCCCTTTAGTCACAACACAGTCCAAAAGAAAGTCATCATGGCTGAAGAGAGTTACGCGACGTATTCTGCAAGCAAAGCGGAAGGCTTGGTTTACGTGGCGCGTTTCTAAGACTCAGAAAGACCACGATGCATGCCTGGAAATCAGGAACCTGTGCAACGAGAGAGTCAGGAGTGACAGGAGGTTATTCCAGGTCATTGCCAAAAAACTCCTAGCAAACCCCGAAAACTTGTATCGATTCATGTCGGAAAGAAAACCAACCAACCAAGGGGGGCATGCGCCTTGGTAGGCCAAAACGGTCAATATCTCACTAGTCTGGGGATGGCGGAAACATTCAGTTTAGCCCTCACAAAACAGTTAAACAGCAATGTGGGTATTACCGGTACGGACCAAAATGGTGGCTCTACTATTTCACCAGAGGAAGACCTAGTGGCTACTCCCCGAATAAACCCAGCAATAGTACTAAGGAACCTACAGAGACTCCCATCTGGAAGGTCCCCTGGTTGTGACGGCATCGGGCCATCTGTTCTGAAACAGCATGCCGAAGCTTTCTGCAGGCCCTTGTGCGACTTGTTCCAACACGCAATGGATTCGGGGAAACTGCCAAGGGAATGGAAAAGAACCATCCTTTCTCCGGTCTTCAAGGGTGGAGATAGGCAAAATGCCACTAGCTATAGACCAGTAGCTCCACTCTCAGTGGCATCAAAAGTATTATTGACGGTCACATCAGGGATTACCTCGATGGGTCTAATATACTCCATGAAGCCCAACACGGTTTCAGGAAAGGCAAATTCTGTGTAACAAACCTACTATCAGCTTGGGACGATTGTACATCATGCTGGAATATGAATGTTCCAGTCCATGTGGTCTTCCTAGAAATTGAGAAAGCATTCAACACTGTTCTCCATGACCTTCTCCCGCACAAAATAAGCCAAATAGGCATAGGTAGGCCACTTCTGTCATGGTTGGAGGACTACCTAGCTGAAAGGAAATTCTGCACTAAATTCAGTCGAGTTCGATTATCTTGGCACTGCTTGTCACCAGGAGTGTCGCAGGGTTCTATCCTAGGACTATTGATGTTTTTGACTTTTATTAATGATCTACCATGCCGTCTAAGCTGCCCGACGCTAATATACGCTGACGACGTAAAGAGTTGGAGAGCAATAAAGTGTCCGGAGGACTCAGATAGGCTGCGGACAGATCTAGATCTTCTGGAAGACTGAACGGTGGCCAATGACTTGACTTTCAACCTGAAAAAGCGCAAAGCAGTGAAATTACGCACCTGTAAACAGCAGAATGCAAGTTGCACCCTGTGCAATGAAAGCTTGTCCTGCACAACGTTGGAACGTGACTTAGGTCTAGTTCTAACGGAGAAAATGGACACAAGCGTAAATTATACGGGGGATGTAGCGAGGGCATATGCGGTCATACACTTAACACATAGACAGTTAGGTGCACTCACTCCTGAGCTCTTTCTAAGGTTGTACAAAACATACGCCAGACAACATCTTGAAGTGCATAATATTATTGCACCTCTCACTGCTTAGAAGAGACGCCAACCTCTTGAAAAGAGTCCAAAGGAGTAGTTGGTCTCGGAAATAAACCATATGCTGAAAGGCTATGGAAATTAGGCCTATTCACACTTAGCCACCGTCGGCTTAGGGAGGGTTTGATCACTGCTTACAAAATAACAAATGACCAGAATCACCCAAACAAAGGTGTTCTGCCACCGAGTAGGTATAGGCTTTCTCGTGGATATCCCAGAAGGACAGCTCACTAGAGGGCAAAGATCCGGGAGCAATCCCACTCCTTTTCACTGCGGTTTTGCCGTCCCTGTAATTCCTTACAAGGAGAAGTAGCTATGGCCACGCCTTTGGATGCCTTTAAGCGAAGGCTGGACAATCATGAAGCTTCTTTACATTCTCTCCTGTCTCACTCTCCTGACAGCTCTAAGTACACTTATTATTATTACTAATATATGTATATGTATCAACTTCAAATTTAATCAGCTGTCTCTGTTTACGTTTTCTTTATTTCTTTTTCTGACTGTTAGTCTGAATGACTTCACTAATTTCATCTATTATTATCTCTTTTCTTTTGACGACGATACCGTGGTGAAATGATCAACTGCATTCACAGTAGTAACAGTCTTAACACACCTCATACTACAAGTTACACATGATTAATCCCAGCACTACTCCTTTGGGAGTCAACCAAAACTACGACAATCGAGTGGCGGGACGAGCTGCACAGAAGTTTACCGAAGATCAGGAACCTATATCTCATAATGAAGAGGCGAGCACGAAGAAATTAAACTGGTTTATACTAGCTCGTAAAAACGATATTGGAACACACATTTAACACCCTTCTTGTTGAATCGAGATGATTCTAGATCTTAAGTAGATTCCAATACGAGTCGTCCTCTCAAATTCCTTAGCTTTACTGAAAGCAATAAGGGGAGGTACATTAGTTTATTTGGGAATGGAATTCATGCTTTTTATTATAACTAGCGGACTGCTAGGACTTGTAAATGTTTCACCAAACACTCCTCCGATTATGTCAAAAAGCACTTCAGAGTAGGAGTTGCTGGGCGGAAACGCAATCTGGAGTATAAGTGGAATAAAAAATGAAGAGTGAGGAAATGTTTTCGTTTTGAGGTAATTAAAACAATGAGAACACACTAGTACGACAGGAACAGAGGAAAAAACTAGATCGGTTCTGATAGCAGTAATAAAAAATAGTGAAACATAGAAAAACTGATGCTAGCGTTAGCACCTAGAAATCATTTACTTGGCATATGCATATCAGCAGACGTATAGTTTCTACATAATGGTCAAAATTAGACTTAAGGCTAACTTTTTATGGAGCATTTGATGCGTAGTTTGGTAGTGAACTTCATAGGTAGCAAATCTAGAGGGAATATAGCCTGGTCCTTCACTTAATCTCTCGTCTTTGTTGAGCAACTTTTCTATGATTACTCTAGAGAATAAGATACTGCTCTTCTGTCAGTATGTATCAGATAGGGTGTATTTGGGTCATTCACTATTTCGTATTTCATTTTTAGGTCGCTGCTAGTTCTATGGTGGTTGGGTATATAAATATCCAGATGACACAGTCAGCTGTCGTTTGTTCGGCATTTCCGTCCAGTGAGGGCTTCGGCAGACCCCCTGTTTACTAAGAGATTCTTATATCTCTTTAAGAATGGAGGTGTAGTAGTATTTTGAATATCAACTTTCTGTTCACGCCACAGGTTGGCTCACTAGCTTTGGCTGGGTCTCCTGAATAATTAGTAGTTGTGCCTAATTTATCTCTAAGGGATCTATCAATGTTTCACTCCGTCTACTTATCGGTAAATTCCTTTCTAGGGAGCAGTATAGTAACCTTTATCCTACTGGTGTCAGCAAGAAAATTGCCCGGTATTTATTAATACAGAAATCTAACCTAATTTCTGTGTCCAGATAGTTCATGTTGACTAGATCTTCTTGAAGCTCGATCGAAATTCCTCCGAATCTTTCGATCATTCATAGCTTTACACCATCTGAGCAAAGAAGCGTCTGAGAACTTAAGTCAATAGAGAGATAGTTTATAAAGATTGAGAAGAAAAATGGACCTGTAACTGCTCCTTGTTTTACCTCAGCAGTCACTACACTTCACGTGCAACATAATCCATTCGCCTTCGTGCAGTTGACTACAACTTCAGGTAGGCTCAAATTTCAGAGGATGACGGGTTGCTAATACCCGTTTTTGATCCGTGAAATAATGATAATAACAACGGTCAAATGACCAAGGAAAGAGAGAAAGACACTGTAATATTCCCAAGAATCTAGGCAGCAGCTTATGTTATGTCGCGAAGTAAGTTAGTAGCCTAACACCTATGGAAACAAAGAGGTAATCTGTAGGGAATACCATGACTGAATGTGATTGCCTCGCCTAAGATGAGCCTCCCGAATTCTTCCGTGGATAGCATGTGGTCAGGAAAGGTTTCTCAGGGGAGGTAAATAAATCTTTCCACTGTTTTCACTAACCCGAAGGTGATGGAGATAGGTCGAAACTCTGATAATCTTATACCATGAGGTCCGAACCCACTATGTCCTATGTTCCAATGAGAACTATATAACTTATGGCTGACTCAGCTCACCTTGAGCTTCCTGGATGGTAATTTCGAAAGTTAGGACAAATTCGTTGAAGGCTGGCAATGCATTGTTTGAAAGAGCTTTAAGTGTGCTGTTATTATTAATTTCACTTTGGAAAATTTCCGGTATTATCTCACTCTTCACCTCTATTTATTCAATTCTATGTAATGTTTGCAATGTTTTCTAATCATAACTATCACCTCGTC